TCATGTTCTGAAGTCTCCAGCCGTTACCTTTCACTTGATTGGCCACCACGGCCTGATACAGTCTCCCATCTTCCTTGCTTATATGGTTGGTCTGTGACCACGTCCCAGGTGGGCAGAACGGACCAATGAGATGGGGGACCGGGGACCCGCGGCGGGGCTCACGGTCCACGGTCCAGCATCGGCTAATCAGAGGAGGACCGAGGACCGTTTATAAGTTAACGGTCCACGGTCCTAAAGTCTATATACGGAGGAACTAGCTAGTATAGATAGATAGTTCCGTAATTTATAATTATAAATCACAATTGTGAGTATCCTAGCTATTATGATTAAGATAAGCTATTTATTATATACTATTTATCTATACCGAACTAGGATTGTTCAGAAACACCTTTAATTAGTAATATTTTCAGAGGTTCTGGATAAGGGTTCGTCACAACTAAAGATATAATAGCTATAATATACTAGACAGTTTTCTTTTCTATAGAGAACGATTTACTTTGTAAAGCTAAAAAGGCTTTAAATAAGCGCCGAAAAGCAAAAAATACGTGCATAATTTGGAAGATTACTTACTTTATTATTTGTATAATCTTTACTATTTTAATAATAGGTAAAGCTTCTATTTCTGTTTTTTATATATTGGAGTCCAGCTTATTTTTTTATAAATTATTTACTATATTTTTTTCATTTTATATTATTCTAGGATCATCCCTGTTCTTTTTATCCTAATTAAAATATAGAGTTTATATTTAAGTTATTATTTTATTTATTAAATTTAAATATTTATTTAAAATAGTAAGCTTTATGTAGTTAGACTTATTTACTTACTTTGTTATTTATTTCTAAATCTCTATTTAGCTTATTATTTCATTAAAATTTAAGAAAAAAAAAGACATCTAATTTAAAATAAAAAAACCTAATAAGAAAAGATTTCTTTTTAAAAAAAATTTACATGGAAGCTCAACTCGATATCTTCTTAGAAATATATTAAATTATATTATAATTTCAGTTTATTATCTTATATATAATAATAAAATAGAAAGTTTTTCAATTCCAAGAAAAATATTTTTCGGAACTTCGATTTACGTAGGAAAATCTCGGGAAATTAGAAGTATCCCGAATCCTTTTCTGAATCTTCAGTAGAAAGAAGATTTGTGGATGCTATACTATAGCATATATTCTCTAGTATTTATATGCTATTAGTGCTTTTTGCTAGTTTCGTCGTCCCATACAATATCACAAAAGACTCTCAACCTACCTACTTTCTCATATTCAACTTTGAATAGCACTAGAAAACCCCAAGAGTACATACTTGATCTTTTACCTATAAGGAATGGTGGTTGTGTATGACCTCGAGCGGCAGATACCCACATCTACAGCTATGATGTCATGGTGCCTAGCTAGCTTTTTAGACACCTGCTATTAGGCACATCGCTAGTGATCACCAGATTCACACTTCCACCCTCCAACTACGTACGTTGCGAAAAGATTCTCAGTCAGATAAGATTCCTCCGAGCATAGAAACGAGGCGTCATTCGTCTTAATGAGGGACAACACACAGGCCGAGATATTGGCGGTATGTAACCACACAGATCCAAGCTTGAAGGCTTAAATATATTACTGACCAAAAGTTGATGCTAGGCCGGTGCGGTGGCAGCGTTTACTGTTGACCTCCTTGTTTACCCCTTGGATACAATAAAGACTCGATACCAGAGTCAAGGTATTGTTGGTCAGCCAGGAGGTCCAGCGCCGGTATCTCATGGGCTCAGAGGTCTATACCAAGGAATTGGTAGTGTGGTTTTTGCGACATTGCCTGCCGGTACGCTTCACTCCTTCCATGCTTGTCAACATTGTACATGAATGGCCAACTGACTTTAGCTGTGCTCATGGCGGAGTGTAGCTGCGATATTTTTCATCAGTTATGAATCTGCAAAGTCTGCCCTGAAGTTTTCTTTGCCCAGTACAGCCCCCCAGCCAGCAATCCACGCTCTGGCTTCAGCTGGCGCCGAACTGGCCTCGTGTACTGTTCTCACACCAGCTGAGGTGATCAAGCAAAATGCCCAAGTCTTACAGCGTTCCAGCTCTTCTGGTCATAGCAGATCATCGTCCATCGAAGCATTGCACATGGTGTGGCGGAGTGAGGGAGGCGCCGGACGAAGATTATGGACAGGCTACACTGCTCTTGTCGCCAGAAATCTGCCTTTCACTGCACTCCAATTCCCGCTGTTTGAGATCTTTCGGGGCCAAATTTGGAACTGGAAGAGGGGAGGTGCAGAATCATCACACACACGGAAAGATTACGCGGACAGTGACCAACTACAAGACACCAGGCAGTCGAAGGAGACGCGCCAGAATGGGCCTCAAGTCGGCTCTTGTCGAGACAGGTTTGGTGACGGGAGCAAGTGCTGCAGTCTCGGGCAGCCTTGCAGCGTTGCTGACCACTCCATTAGATGTGGTCAAAACGAGAATTATGCTCAACGCCGGGAGCTCATCAGCCCCGGAAACCACATGGGAAATTACGAGCAGGATAGTCCGAAAAGAGGGGGTGCGTGGCATCTTTCGGGGAGCTATGCTTCGTGGGACATGGACGGCCCTGGGGAGTGGCTTATATCTGGGCTCATACGAAATGGCCAAGATTTGGCTCAAAGGGACATCACCAGACCATCCTAACTTCTCTTGAAGCTTCAAAGCAAACTGCGGTAGAACAGCAAGCGGCTTCCTCCATATAGCAAGATGACTGATCGCCCACATGGCCAATGCCAGGAACCATGCACCATAGCGGCATATTGAAGAGCCCTCGGAGTGTTGGTCTTCCGTTCACAGTGTATTCTTATCTCCAGTCATAGATAGCTCCGAAGTCGCTGATGAGCAGCAACCGTGTGTTTTCAGGTCAGGCAGTGGAGTGGGACTCTGTTGAAACTCCCCGTGGGTGGTCTTGGGGGGAAGAACGGCACGGGGGTTATCGGCAGAAAGCCAAGGGTCGGATCTGCAGAGATGGGAGGTGGTACCCGGTAATCTGGAAATCGCATTGTTGATAGCTACCACGCAAAGCCCCGCCAGGTTCGTTTGCAAGTCGCAATGCACACTTTGCATTGCCCATTTGGCGGTGAGCAACGCCTATATGACGCGAGACGTTGACTGATGTGCGAGCGCTGCTTTCTTTTGGATCGGTGTTGTGCAAAGAAGGGTGAAACAAGGCTTTGTCCCGAATTTCCCGCCTCTTTCATCCGTCAAAGAACCAGAGATGAGCCGGAGCAGAGTTTGACTGCAATGTCACCACTGTTACGATCGATGGCGCCATCGGTAGGGTTTCCGCGACGACGCTTACTCCTACTCGGAGAGCAGCCGCTCAGTGGTCATGCCCATAACCAGGCCTCGAGAATAATGGCCCTATCCTAGCTGATGTTCCGCATGAATTCGTGATTTGCTCACGACATGTCACCAGTCTCTTTGACTGTCGGTGTGTCGCCAGTGCATCCGACCTCGCCCTCCTGCATCCTGTTATCATCTTGTTTTATCCGCCTGTTCCCATCGACAACTGTTCTGCTGCCCAGCTGACTCTTCCGATGTTGCTTGTCCATCTCGCTCCACGATAACAGAGGATTTATATGACACCTCTCACCCACTGCCCCCCGTGGCAATCTGTTCCACCACCAAGAGCATCGGCATACTCGCCACACGATGACCATTTCCCAGGGGCCAGCAATCGTGGCAGAGACCCAAGACTCGAACACACGCCAAGTGTATGCCAAAGCATCCATCATCATGTCCGAGTCTGAGGTTGTTGCCACGCCAACGCCCTCGCCAGGGCCTGATCGATATCTTGTAGTGTCGCCCTATACAGAGCAGCAACATCTGCTTGACCTCGATACCCTCGACACCGAAAACCAACTTTTCGCGCTCGCCCTGACACAAATAAGGTGCCTGCGGGATGACTATGCCACAGCGCCATACCTTGACACATTCAACTGGTCCGACATCATCGATACTCTCCGGGCACTTGCCAACCAGAGACAACATGCATGGAGGAAAACTTCCTTCTACATTGTTGCCTTTCGGTCCCGTATCCCTCCCACGACAATCTATGCAGAGCTAGGAACCCTCGACAAAGCAGCCCACGTGGAAGCCACGTCGAGTGGTGGGTTCCTCAAGTAGGTCTTTGTCTCGTCATATGAAACCCAGGCAACAGAAAGCAAGCAGAAATAGCCCAACTCTAACTGACGAGCTTGTATGGCAGGTACTGGTTTGGCACTCCTGATATTGAGGGTCGCAATCTGGCAACGTGTGTGTGGAGGTCTCACGAAGACGCAAGAAAAGGAGGGGTTGGCCCTGCTCACCGAAAGGCTGCCGGTGCCGCACGGCATTTGTATTCATTTTGGAAGATCGACCGGCATCGACTGACCATAGACGAAGACGTGAACGGGTGGTCGATTAGCGAGTGGATTGACTGAGCGAGTTGCGTGTGGAGGCCGAGTTTGGTCTCATCATTATGGCTTTTATAGAAGACTGCGGGGGAATATCCATAGAATAATAGACGGCTTTATAACTGAATGAATCAAGTCGCTGCCTCGTACCGAAAGGGTTGTATGTTTATAGAGGAAAGAGATGTAGTGAAAGAAAAGAGAAGACCAGAAGAACGAGCACCGGAAAGATGGGTGTGTCGTCCATTTAAGCATCACTGACGAATTGCGAGATGAGCCACAAGACGTGGGGGAGCGTGGGATGGGTTGGTGTTTTGTCAAATCACCGGCCAGTGCTCGAATTTCGTGACCATCTGCGAATCCCTCCCCTAAACAACGACACCTCCAGAACCCTCAGCTTCCCATTCAGGGAGATAGATGGATGTATAGGTAGCCAGGTCAAACTTGGAACTTTCTTGCTAGTTGTGCTGGCTTCGTCGAACTTATCTTTATGTTTCGCTCCTTCTTGTGTTAGTATACGCGGCTACGAGCAGTGCTCTTCTGGTGCTCCACAAATTGGCAGTGGGCTGTTAACGATGTGGATGGGTGGGACGGGCTACAATGACCCACACTGTGTCCGCAACCTCTTGGCATCTTGCGGTGGAGAAATCAGGCTGCAAGCGTCCCCAGGCTTCGCATGCGCCACATATAGCGGGACATAAGCCACACCAGACCCTTTGACAAAAGTTTTCTGCTCCCCGTTTCGGCCTTTCAAGCCACCTCGACGCCAGCTTGCCCACAAACTAGCGAGATTTCCCAGAAACCTCGTGAAAAGTTGCCGGCAGTCTTCCTCAGCATCGAACCCAAGTACGAACGGACACACGCACGTTTTCCCAACTCCCGATCCGCCGATCTCATTGCCGACTCAGACTTTCACCATGGCCGACGTACAAAAAGATGTGCCGTTCAAATCGGCCCAGGTCGAGGCGCTCGTGAGTCCCTGCGCCCTCAGAGCCCCGCCCGAGCAGCGATCGCGATACTAACGTCCGGGCAGGTAGTAATCAAGATTGTCAAGCACTGCTCTGCCAGCTTTCCCACTACAGCTACCGGTTCCTTGGTGGGCATGGACAACGACGGTGTCCTTGAGATCACAAATGCCTTTCCCTTCCCCACGGTCGATGTTGCGAATACCGACGGCCACCAGAACGATGCTTCAAGCCTCGCCGCTGCCGCCCCCCGCGCAAAGGCCAATATCGCCTACCAGAACGAGATGATCAAGCACTTGAAGGAGGTCAACGTGGATGCTAACAACGTCGGCTGGTACACCAGTGCCACCATGGGCAACTTTGTCTCCCTCAACTTTATTGAGAATCAATACCACTATCAGCGCGACAACGATAAGACTGTCGCGCTCGTTCATGATGTCAGCAGGAGCTCGCAAGGAGCGCTCAGCCTGCGCGCGTTCAGACTCTCACCCGAGTTCATGGCCGCATACAAGGAGGGCAAGTTCACAACAGAGAGGTAAGGTGATCGCCAGTCTGGCTTATCGAGTTGACCGCGGTGCTTGACGCTAATATGCCGCGACCGGTAGCCTGCAAAAGTCCAAGTTAAGCTTCAAGGACATCCTTGTGGAAGTCCCTGTCATCGTTCACGACTCTCACCTCCTCACCACATTCCTGCACCAGATGCCCACCCTCCCCGAGACCGCCGAGGTTCCGCTTCCCACGTCGCTAAACGACATTTCTCGTGACCCTGCCAGATTACCCGCGAACCCATCTTTCGACGCCCTTGATCTGTCGATTGACCCTTTTCTCGAGAAGACATGCGATCTTCTCCTCGACAGTATCGAAGCCCATTACACCGATCTCAACAACCACCAGTACTATCAGCGTCAGCTGACGCGCGAGCAGTTTAAGATCACTCAATGGCAGACAAAGCGCAAGGCGGAAAATGCTGCCCGTGTTGCGGCGAAGCAGGCTCCTCTCCCCGAGGACGAATGGCAAAGACTGTTCAAGCTGCCACAAGAGCCCAGTCGGCTCGAGGGCATGCTGAATGCGCGACAGGTTGAGCAGTACAGCAAGCAGGTGGATGGGTTCACAGCTGCAATTACCTCCAAGATGTTTGCTGTCCGGGGAAATTTGCTGCCTGAGTGAGGGCAGACATGTGCATGGCGTGCGTGAAAAGGGGGTTTGACGAGCGTTGGCGGGTATTCTCGACTGCATTAGGTCTGGCGTTCCGGGTTATGGGCATCTTTTCTGATTGCTTAGTTTCCGGGCCAGCCATGCTGTCCATTTGCTCAATGGAAATTTTCTGGGCCGAGAGCAAACTAGAGACACCAGGGCGAAAGGCAACTAGATAGGAGGGCCTGCGTTAGGCGTGGATAAATAAACACCAACAGTACCACAATACCCACAAGATGTTCGGCTTTTGACGGGTCTGGCTGCACAGGGGCACCCCATTGCCAGGAACCTATCTTGATTGACGTAAGAGTTGATGTAAGATGTACGAGCCTCTCTATGCTTCCTCGGACCACGGTTTCAGCCCGGAGTCTATCCTCGGAGTCGGAGTCCACATATCAAATTGGTCCGGATGCATGGGGGCTGACGATCCAAAGCGAATGCTTTGTGACAGACTGTGCGAATTTCTTGAGAGCTATGGATTTTGCGGTTTTATGGCTAGCTGTATAGGCCGAAAAGACGTTAAAGATCATGAGGTTTGTCGGTATGTGCCTAGTAACCTTCTGCTTTTGCCTTGTTCCTGACCGCCGAACTGTAAGGAGCCGTAGGAGGGGCTCTCGCGAAGGCCACTTCGTGCTGGAAGCCCCTCCCACGTTTTGCTCCCCTCTCACCATTGGGTGCGGCGATGGAGGAAAGAGGGGCAGACTGGTGGGGTTGTGCAGTCCAAAGCGGCATAGCTTGCCCCAGAACCACTCACCGACAGTGCCTTCAAGGTTGCTGCTCTTTTTCATACCCCCACATTTTCCATGGCTGTCCCGCTTTGGCTCGGGTTTGATTTTCTTTTCCTGGTGGTCCTGGAAGTCTCCTTATTCCGGTCCGCTAGCATTGTGCTCGTTGTCCTGACGAGAACACAATTGAATCTGCTATAGAGCCAAGAAATCTGAAACTGCCATAATTGGCTATCATTTGCACCAGCTGCAGCCTCTGGTTGTGCTCCTGCATTCGGTGTTCGGTGCTTTCTGCCAATTGTGACGGCAATTAAGTTGAACCCCAGTGCCCTGCCCAGCGCCTAGATTGCGACCCCTCACTCCGCCGACTCCGCCCCTCTTTTAAAAGTAAGCAAAACCCCCAACCCTTCTCCCATCTTTTTTCCCTGACTATTCTCCCCCGCCCCTCACCTTTTCCATTCCCTCCCATCGGCAGGTTAGTTCTACCACCAAGCTACCTTATCCTGTGGCTTCATTTTAACCAACAGTCGTCGCTACAGCTTCCCCCACATCACATCAAAATGTCCAACTTCAAGGTCGCCGATATCTCCCTTGCTGCCTTCGGGCGCCGCGAGATCGAGCTCGCTGAGAACGAGATGCCCGGTCTCATGAAGACCAGAGAGAAGGTTAGACCTCGCATTGTCTTCAAAGATTATCACAGTGTCTCTAATTCTCCTTGTAGTATGCTGCCGACCAGCCTCTCAAGGGTGCCCGCATTGCTGGCTGCCTCCACATGACCATCCAGACTGCTGTCCTCATCGAGACCCTGACCGCCCTCGGTGCTGAGGTTACCTGGACTTCCTGCAACATCTTCAGCACCCAAGACCACGCCGCTGCCGCCATTGCTGCCACCGGCGTGCCGGTCTTCGCCTGGAAGGGCGAGACCGAGGAGGAATACAACTGGTGCTTGGAGCAGCAGCTCGTTGCCTTCAAGGACAACAAGAAGCTGAACCTTATCCTTGACGACGGTGGTGATCTCACTCACCTGGTCCACACCAAGTACCCCGAGATGCTCGCCGACTGCTACGGTGTCTCTGAGGAGACCACCACTGGTGTTCACCACCTCTACCGCATGCTCAAGGAGGGCAAGCTCCTTGTTCCTGCCATCAACGTCAACGACTCTGTCACCAAGTCCAAGTTCGACAACTTGTACGGCTGCCGCGAGTCCCTCATTGACGGCATCAAGCGCGCCACCGACGTGATGATTGCTGGCAAGATTGGTGTTGTTGCTGGTTTCGGTGATGTTGGCAAGGGCTGTGCTCTCGCTCTCCAGGGTATGGGTGCCCGTGTGCTCGTCACCGAGGTTGATCCCATCAACGCCCTCCAGGCTGCCATGGCTGGTTTCCAGGTGACCACCATGGAGAAGGCCGCCAAGGTCGGCCAGATCTTCGTTACCACCACTGGCTGCCGTGACATTCTGGTTGGCAAGCACTTCGAGGCCATGCCCAACGATGCCATCGTCTGCAGTATGTTTAGATCCTTATGCCCCTTGAGTCCTTGATCTTCCGCCGCTTACAAAACTTCTAGACATCGGTCACTTTGACGTTGAGATTGACGTTGCCTGGCTCAAGGCCAACGCCCAATCTGTCCAGAACATCAAGCCCCAAGTTGACCGTTTCCTCATGAAGAACGGCCGCCACGTCATCCTTTTGGCTGAGGGCCGTCTCGTCAACTTGGGCTGCGCCACTGGCCACAGCTCTTTCGTCATGTCGTGCAGCTTCACCAACCAGGTGCTCGCTCAGATCATGCTCTTCAAGAACAACGATGAGGCTTTCGCCAAGAAGTATGTCGAGTTCGCCAAGAGTGGCAAGCTCGAGAAGAAGGTCTACGTCCTCCCCAAGATCCTCGACGAGGAGGTTGCCCGTCTTCACTTGGACCACGTCAACGTCGAACTTGAGACTCTCACCAACGTCCAGGCTGAGTACCTCGGCCTCGACGTTGAGGGTCCTTACAAGAGCGACCACTACCGCTACTAATTTCCTTTTCCTTTTCTAATATATCTTGTGTTCCGCAAACCTGCAGTGGTTACCAGGGCACACTGGGCTTTCCACCAGGGATCTCGTTCAACAACACCGATCTTGGACAGGTCTTGACGGCATGTAATGGGGTTTTGGGGCATTGTTTTCAACAGGCATGACTTGCATGATTCATCTAGGGTTTGGGCAGGGTAACTTAAAAATGGCTGGGGGCATGGTACGCATTTTCAACAAAAAGTACGGCGTTGGCTTTGGCTCATGATATCCACCCACACCCACACTGGCAGGCGTTAAACATTGGGGCGCTGGAGCGCCTACATCTTATGGCGAGAAAAGTAGAAGAGGGAAGGGACGGTTAGAGGACACGACCCCGTCAACCGAGGTCTTGCGAATAGAGGGACAACACAATAAAATACCCAGTCCTTTTTGTGTGTATACTTTGTACACGGTGTGATTTCTGGCGCAACTTGAGTGGCTGCGTGGGTGTGTGTTACTCAACATGTCATCAGTACTCGTCACGGCTGCCAAATGTAGTAGCATCGGGAATAACCGAGTCGACAGTTCCGCTGTTGTTCGGTGTAGTGGCAGGTATGATTACTGGCACGCCATGTTCTATTGATAATATCGCCAATAGCTGAGGCTCTTATCTCTCATCAATCACGGGACAAGAATTGGCCCCCGTCACCTCTACAACCAATGGCAGCAGTCGAGGTGGCTGGCGGAAACCTTGCAAGAGATGGATGAACTTCATGATGCTCCAAGCCGTTGACGCCAACATTGGGATCAGCCGAGATATTCTCTGTGAACCATACCCGGGGTTTTGACACCATCCCATCCTTCGTATCCCAGGCCTATCTGTATCTGGAAAACACCATTCAAATTGCGAGACAATTGATTGCTTTCGTTCTGATACTGGCTGTTAGTCACACTTTCACTTTTCCTGCGGACAAATCACCCCGCGGTATTCTCTGAACAACCCCGCGCCACGATCGAGTGGTGAAGGCGATATTGTCTGATACTATTTTGCAAGCAAGCTCGACAGCCAGCCTCTCAATCTGAATCAGAATAGAGACGTTCGCCAGACCAACTCTAGCTAGTACTCCCGCCGACGACGACGTCCCAATGGCCTCTTCTAAAAGTGCAGGCCGACCAAAGGTGCTCTTGCTAGGCGTAATTGAGCAGTAAGTTTCGTTCTCTGTCGCATTCCTTTGGCAGCCCCAGATGTATGCTCACGGACGACCGCACAGTGCCCAGTCATCGTGGGAAGCCGTAGGCGAGATAGCTCAAATCTTGACGCCAAAGTCGAACAACCGAGCCGACTTCATCCAGGAAGCATCCTCTGGAGACTTTGACGGCTGCGTTGCCGCCTACCGCACCTTCGACAGCTTCGAAGTGACAGGCAAAATAGATGGCGAACTGCTCCAGGCACTCCCGGATTCCCTCCGTTTCCTGTGCCACAACGGAGCCGGATATGATCAGGTTGACGTCCACGCCTGTACCGCTCGCGGCATCCGTGTGTCCAACACCCCGACGGCCGTGGACGACGCCACGGCCGACATGGGGATTTTCCTCCTTCTCGGAGCTCTGAGAAACGTGGCCGTCGGCATGGCCTCTCTTCGAGCAGGGGAGTGGCGCGGGAAGACCCTCCCACCGCTGGGACACGATCCCCAGGGCAAAGTCCTCGGCATCTTGGGTATGGGCGGTATAGGCCGCAACATGGCCAAGAAGGCGCTGGTGTTTGGTATGCAGATCCGATACCACAACAGAACGAGGCTGGATGCTCATATCGAGAAGGAGATTGGGGCTGAATATGTTGATTTCGACACTTTGCTGGCTGGCAGCGACGTCATCAGTTTGAACTTGCCCCTGAACCCAAAAACCCGTCACATCATCTCGCGAAACGAGTTTGCCAAGATGAAGGCAGGCGTCGTCATAGTCAACACGGCCAGAGGGGCTGTCATCGACGAAGCAGCGCTGGTGGAAGCTCTTGATTCTGGACATGTAAGCTCTGCCGGCTTGGACGTGTATGAGAACGAGCCGGATGTCCACCCTGGGTTGCTGGCCAAACCCCGCGTCCTTCTGGTCCCACACATGGGAACCTTTACCGTCGAGACGGAGACTAAGATGGAAGAATGGGCGATTAGCAATGTGCGCATGGCTGTTGAATCTGGTCGTTTGCGGAGTATCGTGCCGGAGCAGAAGAGCATGGAACGGTAGAAATGAGGATAGTTGAGAATGAGTGTCTTCTTGCATATTGTCATGGCCAACCGGAGCGCATCGTTGAGTCGGTAGTAGTTGTGGAAGCATGTTGCCATCTTTTGTGCTGGAGTAGATTTCTCTCACGAAATTACGGAAATAAACCTCAAGCTGGCGTGGTTGCCGTCTCGTCCTCTATAGACCCAACTGTCAAGTTCACACACATGATATAAAAAGGCCTCATCAGGCTGAGGCAAAAAGTCCACCACATCTGAACAAACGAAGACACGGGGACGGGGATCGAAGTTCCTGCACCCTTCCGCCGCGAAGCTCAATGTATTTGGCCAGTATGTAGTTGAAAGATTCTACAATGTTTGAAAATCTAAAATGTAAGAGACCGCTTCACCTTGGCTCCCACTGAGAAGAACGCCAGGTTGTATGCAAGCAGAGAAAGAAAGAAAATGCAGATTCCATCGCCTGCCACCAGATGCAGCTTTCTTTTATATCAAGTTTTTGCAGCCCCATGAAACTCCTTGTGCACCCCACGCCCAAATGCAGGACTATGCTAGCCTCCGACACCCCCTTTTTTCTTCTTCTTCATTTCTGTTCAGAGAACGATTTCGTCGACAGCAGACAGCAACCCGACGAGATATCCCCTCTTCCGCTTCCCTAAGAAATCCCACAAAACGTATTGTACAAGGAAAAACCCAGGCCGTCATCAAACTGCCGTGGGAATGGTGATTTGCGATCAGAAAAAATACCGAAGCGCGTGATAGACGGACCGGCACCAGCTGGACCCTTGATACAGACGGCGAATTATAAGCGTGCGAGGCTGGTAGAAAAAGAGGCGGCTGATACCTTCCACCCATGAATGCTAACCACCCCTGCCGGTTCTGTTGACGTTGACACCAGGTCGAACAAATGCTCGGTAGGCCAGATCGGAAAGACGCCGCACAACATTTGTCGTCCCGCCCGTTGAGGCAGCTTCGTCTCGAATGAACCGCGTGGCAACTGCGAGCTTGCTGCGCGGATCCGACTCTTCCAAATGCGCTCCCACATTTTGCTCGTTCGGGCCAGCGTCCCAACGCTGGGTAAACTCGCGGAGCACCACAATGCTGTAAATCACATCACGATTTTCTCGACCATCCAGCAGAGACCTCATGAGACCAAGAAGATGTTCACGAGTACTAGATCCAGAAGATGGGGCATGCGTGTGCAAAAGGTACTGCGCCAGATGAAACCAAAACTCCAGCTCGCTCCTTTGTGATGGGCTCATGCTGGCTGCCGGTGGTGTCAAAGGATTGCTCTCTAGCGTTTCTCCGGAGATGAGCGTCTCGAAGACACGTAGACGACCGCATGCCTCGTTCGAATCCCGCCCAGGAGCGTTTGATGCTGAAGGTGGGTGGGCAGTATTCAAAGAGGGCAGCAGCGGCAGCCGAGCGAGTGCCCAAATCACACACGTTTCAAGATGGCCCGAGGCTACCATATTGCTCGGGTCGGTGCCGTGGATTTTGGAGATGGAGTCGACAAAGGAAGCGAAAAGAGAAACGAGCGGTTGGCCGTTGGGGAGCGTGGCGGCAGAGAGAACCGTCGCGATCCGGTCCTTTGCGATATCATACCATTGCGTCTCGAAAAAGAGTGTCAGACCTGGAACGTAGACCTCGTAGTACAGCCTGGTCATCTCGTCGATAGTTTCGGGGGACGGGGGCGAGCTGTGGGCTGGGGGGAAGGCGCCCCCAAGTGCTATCAGCTCATCGACCTTCATCTTCTTTGCTGGGAAACTTGTATGAGCCGACATGATCTCCCGCGAGTGAGTCTGCGCAAGCGCAGGCAGGGTGGAAGGGGAGGATGGGGTGCCACCTCTCAAATTGTTCTTGTCACCAACGGTGTGGGATGTGCCCCCCTCAGTCTTGATATGCTGCTGATAGTGAGATGCAGGCGTGCTCGAGGCTTCCGCAGCTTGGAGAGCGGGGTCGATAGCCGTCGAGTAGTCGTATGCCTGGTCGGCCTTGATGCTCTGCGGGGTTGCGGATGCAGGGGAGTCAAATGCAACACTTGGAGCGGGCGGGGGCGGGTATGTGGCTGTCGTCGCGGTCGGGGGAGGGTAGGCGTGCGTGGTGGAGGACGACAGGACAGTCGGGGCGGGGGACGCGAGCGTGGACGGTGTCGAGGGTTGCTGCTGGTTGTTCGGGGCAGGCTGGATGGCGCTTGGGCCCGGTTGCTGCTTGAAGATAGGATCGTAGCCCAGGCACTCGCGCTTCGACTTTTTGCAATTGTTGCACGTCGGATGTCCCTCGTCGCACTACATCAGAGAAATGTCACGTTAGAAGCCGAGCAGGTTTGGGTTTGGGGGTTGGAAACAGTGCGGATATATACAGAATGTGTGTGTGATTGATTGAGGGGGGGTTCGCCAGGGAGAAAAGCAGTTGGAGCCGAAAATTCGGGGTCTTGTCCAAGCGCCTTCGGTAACGGTAAGTGACGTGTGGAAGGATGGCTGGCTCGCTGGTTTGCTCGCTTTGGAATAGCCCCGACGTCAGGCGGCGGGTGAGCTGCTCCAAGCGATCACAAGCGAAAGCATCAAGTTGACCCGAGAAATCGGACAGCGCTTGTTGCCAACCACAAAGCCGCAGACATAGGTTTCTGCGCTAAACGCAACTCCAAATGTCTACCCAACAACGTTCTCTGTCCAACGCCAGCCAACCACGACAACACCAGCGCCCCTCCCCTCCCCCAAAGACGCCCCCCCCAACTACCGCAATCCAAAGGGCGTAAAAAGGAAAAATGTCAACTGTTAAAAGGGAGTCTACGCACCTTGATTCTGCGCTTGCGACATGTCAAACAGCCGGTTTTCGTTCGTCGCTTGATCTCCTGTCAGCCATAACGAAAAGCTCATAGTCAGCAGGCCGACTCATCCCGGGGTATCAGGGGCCTGTTCCGGTTCTCCGGTACCTTTTTGTGTCTGCCTCCGCTCATGGCTATGCGCGGGTCTGCCGCCAGGCCAGGCGCGATCGCGAAGCGCATGCCGGCGGCAGAGGGGTCGGGAAGACCATAAACATGTGGGTGGACATAGTGATATCCCAAGCCTGACGGGCCCGGGGCCACTGGGGCTACCATGTGGCCACCCAGCGCCATACCGTGCTGCTGGTGCTGGTGCTGTGGTGGCGGCTGTGGCTGCCCGTGTCCGTGTCCGTGCCCGTGCCCGTGTCCGTGATCGAGGGTTCGCATGCTGGGAAGGGACGTTGGCGTCGGTCGGTAAGGATCGGCAGGCGGAACGGCCTGCGGCGGATACGGGTAGTGCGATGTCGGCGGTAGGCTGTCGGGATGGTAGGACATCGAGCCGGCATAGCTGACGGGTTGGCGGGGAGGCCCGGGGAGTGGCTGCGAGTTGGACATCATGGACGCGGTCAACATTGGCGCGTCGCCGTTGTATCGCGCCTCGTACTGACTGCCCCGAACTTGGTGCATCGAATTCTCTGCTGCACCGACGGCAACGGCAGCGGCAGGGCTGGCTCCCGGCGCGTGATGGTAGGTGTTACTATGTTTCACGGCCGAGCTCTCATCGGCTGCGTCCTTCTCACCGCCGCGTCCTCCGCCGTTGGTGGTGCTGGAGCTAGTGGCGGCACTGGTGCTCTCTGGCAGACTGGCAGGCTGTGACGTCTGGGACGGCGGTGGTGACTGTGCCTGTGTCTGTGTCTGTGCCTGTGATTGTGTCGGCGGTGGTGGTGTCCAAAAGCGCGGGTGGTGGTGTTGTGAGGGCTGTGAGGGCTGTGAGGGCTCTGAGGGCTCTGAGGGTCGTGAGGATTGTGACAGCTGGGGCAGCTGTTGGGATGATGGTTGGGTCGGTAGGGACTGGAGGTGCTCGTCGAGCGTGTTGATATTTGGCAGCACGCGCGGCTTTACGGGATTCGAATCCAGAGTCGACTGCAGTCGCAACTGGGGTGACTCGGGGGATTGAGCCATGCTGGGAATTTAATTAGATTTTTTTATGGAGCCACGATTCCTGACCCTAAAAAAAAGCGACCAGGGGATGAACGCGACCCTGGGCCGGGTTTCCTGCGTCGACTGATGGACCTGCCTGTTGTTGGGTGTGTGGCTGCTCTCGAGAAATTCAACGATACGTCTCTCTGTAGATTGGCGGGCCTGTGCTTTTCTGGCCTGCGCGCAGGGGGAGTGTGGGAAGCTGCAAATGCGCGCTTCTGCTGCTGTTCTGCTGTGAGCAACTGACAAGAAGCGACCACGAAGCGACCTCGAACCCGCATGCTTTGCGCGCTGCATTACCTGGTTCCTTGCTGGTCACTATTTTCCCGCAGCACCCTCCCCAAGGTCCCCAGCCCAACCCCCTTGTTCTTGGCTGTGCGGCGTACGGGCCTTTTAACGGGGCCTGGGGAGAGGGGAGGGGGGGCCGCTTGGGGCCCGGGGGAAGAAGCCTTAACGATCTCGTCGCCCGTCCATCGCTCGCTTCTGCCGTCGGCGCGATCCCTGGCCTCGATGAATTCCGGCCAGCACAAGGGCGGCGCCTCTTGTGCGACCAAAAAGAAGCTTAACACGACCGTTTTCGCCTCCCTCTCTTCTGTTGCCCTCTTTTTCCCCTGAGCCGCCCCCCTCCTGTGATCCCCGGCTGCATAGACCGTGGGGCAGAATTCACTTAACGGTGACCCAGGCCAAACAGGCTGTTTTGACTTTCCCCCTGGCTAGGATCGGTGACGCTGGAAAATGAAGTGGACCTCTTCTCCAATGGGGGCGGCAGAGGCATGAATTGCGACCAGTAACCACAGCTGCCCATACACCACAGCCCCCACCATACCCCCTCCTGCTCATCGCTGCATATAGTAGTGTGCCCTCTGGTCACTCTACAGCAGGTTGCTATCGTCGTCCTCACTGCCCACGACAGTGGCCTTGGGGAAAAGAGATCAAGGTCGCTTGCCCCCTTTCCCTCGCTGGAGCCGGCACGGGCAGAAGCGAGCGAGCGAGTTCGATGTCGAAGCATGAACGAGTGGATCAGCGGTGTGGATCCTGGGGATGACAAGCGAGACCGTTTGGGCGTTTGAACGTTTGGTTAAAACGAGAGTGGACCACGGCTTAAAATACATGTGGACTGGCGTGTATCAAGTATCTCTACCGCATGCTACTGGCCATAAATAACACGTTTATTCTGGTCCAAACTCAACCGTCACGTTTTCTACACGTGTGAACGGGACTCATTGCAAGACGAGAGACATGCTTGTGCCTCAGTCTCGATACCCGCCCGGCTGGAGTCGTCGCTGGGGATGTCAGATTCGAGACAAGACTTGAAAGCCGAGGCAGGGGACGCATAGGCCCTCGTGTAATTCAAGCCTCCTCCGTAAGAAGAAGGTGTGCAATAAGTGGCCGTGTCGGGGAGGTCGGAAGAGGTGAGGTGGATGCAAGGCGACCGCGCGACCGAGACCGAAGGCTGAAAATGGAAAAGGAAAAAGACTCTGAGTGAGAATCTGAGATGAAAATTGAGATTGGAGGTGAAATGAGCTACTCGCTGAGGCAGGCCAAGCCAAGGCTCCAACATCCTGACCACCTGAGCCAGGAATTGCTCGACCATGGTCAACGGTGCCACACAGGGACCCGGTTCTGATGACTTCAGACGGCTCATGGTGCCCAAGTTCCGGATTTCCTCTCGAACCCTCGCCAATGCAATTGGAGCCGACAAAAACGGTGTTGACTGCCGATTAGCGAACCTCCCCCCCAGACAAGGGGCGCTGATCTCAGTTTTGACAACCGATTACTCGCCCACCGGCAGAAGCCGAGTCTGTTTATGTATACTCTCGAGTTCTCAGAACGTCATTTCCATCAACACACAGCCGGCCATTGTTGTGGCCGTTGACTAAATGCTGTTATTTTGTGTGATCACCAATGTGGAAGTCGGAGCACCAAAATGCGGAGATATCTTTTGTGCTGGACAATCCTGCGGTTTCTGATCTCGTTGGCTCGCGAGATGCGTAAATCTCCGAATCAACGACCGGCCTTGCCTGTTCAACAACCTCGGACCCGGAATGAAGACCCCAACTTCGACAACTATTCTATACGGCACAGGCCTCAAAAATGGCCTGGGATCCAACACGGGGTTCTGTCTTTACTGTCCCACGGCCTTTCAACGGGTCGGTTAATAGAATAGAGGCCCCGTTCACAAGATGCCTCCATCCTTCCCATCTCGATGCATTAGCTGATAACTTGTGTAGAAATGAGGCATCCTAATGATGCACCCGAGGCTCTCGTCAGGGCATATTCCAGTATTGCCCTGTTGCTCGAGACTGTCATGAAATATCACAGGACATGGTCCAAAGACGCAAGCCGGTGCACCCATATCGCCACGCATGAGCACAACCACCACGATGATGGCCGAGGAAGAGAGTATCAAATGCCGGGGCTCAAATTGTCGACCTGCAGGTGCTCTCGCAAATTCAACCACCAGAGAGCAGGAGAAGATCGCCAGCTGCCTCCTTCCCCAGCCGCGCCGGAGAGGCATGCAGATGTCTCCGTGTTTTCTCCCCTCTTATCCCATATGAAACATGCCAACTGTGCAGCTCCGCCTGGTCCCGGAAGAACAGACTATGGCGAGGGCTGCTGCTACATCAGATAGCTTGAGAAAACTGTTGGACCTTAAGCTGTACTGAACTGGGATCTTCTGGAGGTGTTCCGGTTCCTAGCTAGGGGCGAGTGCCCGGGCTGGCAGACCATAGTGATGTCTTCATCTGATTTGACGGCTTCGAGAGAGCCTACGAGGCAAAAAGATAGGTCAGTGAGGTCAGTAGCAGCACGAGAACCCCCACTTCACATGTTACCGGGTGTGCTTTCCTCGACCGTCACCACGGCCATGAGGTTGTGGCCCTGGCCGCTGCGGACCAGCAGGCTTCGCCTCCAGCTTGCATGAGCCTGCCTTGCCGAGGGTGGAGGGTGAATGATCGAATCCCCAGCGGGCACGACTACAGCCCCCAGAGTAGCTACCGCGTGAGCGTTTGCGCGAGAACAAAGAGTATCGCCTATGGCGGCACCACCAGGCGCGAAGAACATTACCCGCTGCTGGCCCGCCTTCGTGTATGCTGCTAAGGGGGCCACTTCCGGGACTGCCATTTACCCTCGATATCTCTGGGGTAGTTGTGGGTGTGTGGTGCTGTAGATGGTTTCTTGGTGGCTTCTACCTCTTTCCCCCAGCCTCCGTCCCGGGCGAGCATCCCGTTTCTTTGGCACGATAGTACGTTTCTGCTATCTGGGCAGGGACCGGCGTGTATCGGCCAAATTGATGGACTTTTGGCTGATTTCAACGTGGCATATTAGGCTGCTCGCCTCTGCCTGCCGCGCCGATCGCCTCTGGCCTGTCTTGTCTGCACGGCGCCAAGACGCGTTTCGATGGCTCGTTTCTCTCTCGTGCATATGCAATCCATGAAATTTGAAAGCCGGGATCGTGAGAGAACCGTGGACGACGCTGGCTTTCTGCTTGGGTCGAGAATGCAACGTTGGTTGGGACCTAGCGCATCTGTGCGGAGCTTGATACCAGAAGCGACTCGGAGGATATGCGTCAGCCCATGGTTGTCTCTATGCCATATTTTCAGATCGCGCAAGGTGCCGCTGTGGAGTGCCAGATTCAAATCGGTCCGGCTTTGCGGCCCGGTTAGGCCAGTACCGCCGGAGGGGCGCCAAGCCTCTCGAGTACCGTATCTCCTCCCCGTCCGGACACAGACAGGTACCTCTACCTACCAGTAGCAGACAGAAAGTGACCTGGAGCTAGACGGGAGGGCCATCATCATCATCAACACCATCATCGAATACTTGACCCTCACTCCGTGATTGTCGAGCCTCGCTGTATATGGCTATGAAGGGAGCCGTCCAAAATGTCGTCGACTTGTCCTGCCCTGCAATAGCCTTCTTCTAGAAGCGTACACGTTTTGACGACACGTCAGCGTTGCAGATGCAGATGGGCTTGCTCTCAAGTGAGGATTGCACGTCCGGAGCAGCGTTTGTTTCGGCTGAGCCGCCCTGTTGTTCCGACGGACATAGGGCTAAGACCAATGTTCAACGCCACGAAGTGATTTCGCTCTTTCCTTTGTTATCTTGACCAGACTCGACCCGCGGTGGAACCGGCATCGAGTTCCTCGGAGTCGGACACCTGGCCATATCTGACCATTCCATCGAGCACGTAGCCATGTTGCTCTCCCTCGACAGACGGGCCGACGATGAGGAAGTAGTTCGGAAGGAGGAAGTTGGTCACCAATGCGCTTGTTGTGCTTGGCTGGCTGAGGGCAGCCGACATGCCGTCTGGATGATTGGCATAGCTGCTGGTCGAGGACCAGTGGGAGGTTTTCTGTTGCGGGAAATGTCAAGTCTTGTGATGTGCTGCGCTAAAGACTGGCATATGGGCCTCGGTGTGGTGCCTCTGCCTGATCCCACCACTCGTTAAGGAGGCGAGCTGTCAAACCAAATTCCGTGCAGTCAATCTTGTCTCTACCTCATTCGTTGCGTGTGACATTATCCATATCCAGGATGGTCTCGTCTACTCCATCATAGCCTAGGCGTGGAGAAAATTTGTTTCAGCTGAACGGATGGCCGCTCAGCCAGACATGCTGAAATTGTCGAGAGATTACCATCATTTGAGGCCTGAAACGGCTCCCAGATGCATGTGTCTGCCACGTTATTACCACCAGGCCACCCTAGCCTACGTGAGGATGTGATGTCTGTTCTCGAGTGTCGATGTTTGCAGCACGTGCACCTAGTTAGAAATATCTAGTTTGTTCATTCCTCGCCCCTATGTCTTTTGCCGTGAGATTTAGACTGGATGCTGCTCTGCGTTCAGGACCTTTCGGCGAGAGAGTGTGTCCAAGACAAGCCCCCGGCTCAGTATTCAGGCATCAGGCATTTCTCTGTAGGTTGTCTCAACATACCGCTGCGAACAGTGGCTACACATGAGGTGGATGGTGCGAAGTCGCTGGCAGAAGTCTCTGTTACAACATCGGGTCTGTAAAGTTGGAGTGTCGTTGATTTGGTGTTCGGCACTTTCCAGCGCGGTATTATGAATTACCAGGTTTTGAGCGATGTGATTGGCAATTCCCGAGTCCTAATGGGCCAGAGCGATCCACGGGGCATTTATGAGTCGTCCAAAGCCAAACGCGGGGTGACGCCACTACCGAATCCAACCTGGAAGACAAGCACAACGTGCACGTCAGCCTCCAGCATCTATCAAACAGACACGGCAGAGCTTCTGTTGATCAGCATTATAAACGTAGATACTAGTTTGGGCGCAAATCGTCCTGGAGCCGACGCCCTGGATCCATCATCAACAAGCAATCGCGTGCCAGACAAGGTGGCGGGTGTTTTATGGACGAAGCCGGCAGCTCCATCGCAGGAGACTGTTTCTCCTTCGGCGTCCCCAGCTCCAAGACCTCACACATCTGTTCCAATGACCCAACCATCCTCGTTGCCACCGCTCACGCCGCAGTTTTGTTTCTCGACAACTGTCCTTCGAGGTAGGCCTCTTCAAACTAAGACCAAACCTTGGCTAACACCGAGCCTCAGATTTTCTTCGGCTGTCGAGGGGCACCATTGATGACACAATCACACAAAACCTCAATGCCTTAGCAACACCATCTAGAGCGGGGTTTGATCCAACTTCCACCTCTCGCCTGGCGCGGCCAGCCACACGGCAGATTGATGCAAGCTCCTGCGAAGCCTTCAAAAACCAGGTTCTATTTCCGTCGTGGCAGTCCCGCTCCGATGTGTTGAGCTATTGCACCTTGGTGGCCACGAGCCCTGATCCCGATGACCCTGAAGCCACTCTCAGGGAGACAGAAAAAGAGAAAAACAGGGAGCGTGTTGTGGACGAGAGGTTGGATCCATATTCGTCACGTTTCTTCCCACGAGAGGCGCGAACCGAGCAGCTGGCGACAATACTTCGGCAGGAAATGGGCGTTGAAAACATCGTCCGGGCAAGAAGCTGGGGAATTGTTCGGGAAAGATGCGGTGATATCGAAAACAGCTGGGAAGATGCTCTGGCTCGCTGGCGAAAGCTCCATACGGCGTCATAGCCCGAAGCGGCAGGGTCGAGTGAAGTGATGTAAGAATAAGGCGTACCACGACGGATGTTGTGGCTGTATGAGTATGTAGAACATGTGAACCAAAGTACAACTCTTAGTTACTACTTCGCCGTGAAGATCCCGGCGGCTGAGAGAGCTCCCCGCCGGGTTGCCAGGCACGGGAGAGCTCAGATGAAGCTTTAAAGCTCCCGGGTGGCTGCCGAGAGCCCCGAGTCCGGGGGCATTTTAGGCGGGCAATGGTGGGGTCAAGAGGGACCGCGCCTTCCCACTGATTGCTCAACTAGCCAAGCAGCCCACATTGATCGACCGCCGCATTGTGCGAAGTGCAACACCATCTCCAGCATCCCGCGGACCGCACGATTTTTGACGTTCCCAACGACAAACAGCACCGCAGAAAACAGGCCGGCTCTACAAGCAACCTCCAATCGAAGAGGCACCCTCTCTGTCGGTTTGGCCCCACCAAAAGCATTTCCATCACTGGTTGCGTTAGCTTGACATCTGACCTTTGGCATTCGCAGTTGGCATCACTCCGCCGGTGCACTCTCGCTCCATCCCCTCTCTCCGCCCATTGTCGCACATAGCAAGCACCAACCGGCAGCCGTCTTGTCCTCCGCTGTTCTCTCTTCTCGAACCGCTCCCCCACCGGCTTACCACCGTAGCCAACCCCCGCAATCTGTCCCGATGCCACAAATACTCAGTACCAAAGAGGCCAACCTCTTCCGCCAGGTCATTCGTGACTATGAGGAGAAGCGATACAGAGCGGGCCTCAAGGCGGCCGAGCAGATCTTGAAAAGGAACCCCAAGCATGGCGACACCATGTCGATGAAGGCCCTGATCATGAACGCACAGGGTAAAACAGAGGAGGCCTTCAACCTGGCCAAGGAAGCTCTCAAGGTTGACTTCAAGTCACACATCTGCTGGCATGTGTACGGCATCCTGTACCGTACCAACAAGAACTTTGAGGAGGCTATCAAGGCCTACAAGTTTGCCCTCAAGCTCGAGCCTGAGTCGCAACAGATTCAGCGCGACTTGGCCATCCTCCAGGTGCAAACCCGCGACTACGAAGGTTACGTTCAAAGCAGGTTCGCGATGCTCAAGGCGCGCCCGCAACTGCGTCAGAACTGGACCGCGTTGGCTATTGCTCACCATCTCGAGGGCAATCTTCAGGAAGCTGAGAGGATCTTGACCACTTACGAAAAGTCCGTGTCGGTGGCCCCTTCAAAGACTGACTTTGAGAACTCGGAAGCGCTCCTTTACAAAAACTCCATCATTTCTGAGCAAGGAGAGACAGAGCGGGCCCTGGAACACTTGGAGCAAGAGTGCAAAAAGTGCTTGGATCGGTTGGCCGTTATGGAGCTACGGGCCCGTTATCTTGCCGAGCTGGGACGGAAGGAGGAGGCGGAAACGGCATATCGGGCGTTGATTGATCGAAACCCAGACCACACCGACTACTACAAGCGCTTGGTGGACGTGTTGGGCCTGACTGCCGAGGATGAGGCTGCGCAAAAGGCCATCTTTGATGAATATTCTGCCAAGTATCCCCGCTCTGATGCTGCTCGTCGTTTGCCCTTGGACTTTTTGACAGGTTCGTCCTTTGCTTTTGTACATTGGGCCCATGAAACAGCTATTCTGACCTCATGATACAGGCGACGAGTTCCGAACTGCAGCCAAAGCATACCTGGGCCTGATGTTCAACAAGGGCGTCCCATCAACATTTGCCAACCTTAAGCACTTGTACTCTGACTCCTTCAAAAAGGATACTCTTCCTTCGCTGGCCGAAGAGTACCTCCAAGAAGCCGAGGGTTCCAACGCAGAAGCCAGCAGCGACAGCTCCAAGGGAGTAGGGGCTGCTCTTTTCTTCCTCGCCCAGCACTACAACTATCACATGAGCCGCGACCTTACCAAAGCGCTCGAGTATGTCGAGAAGGCCATCCAGTTGGACCCAAAGAGTGTCGATTTTCAAATGACAAAGGCGAGAATTTTCAAACACCAAGGCGATATCGCGAAGGCCGCCGAGGCCATGGACCAAGCTCGCCTACTTGATACAAAGGACCGCTACATCAACACCAAGGCCGCCAAATACCAGCTGAGGAACAATGAGAACGAGAAGGCCCTCAACACACTCGGCCTTTTTACGAGGGCCGAGACTGTCGGCGGCCCCTTGGCTGACTTGATCGATATGCAAGCGATGTGGTTTTTGACTGAGGATGGCGAGGCGTGGCAGCGTCGCGGAAACGTGGCTCTAGCTTTGAAGCGCTACCACACCGTATTCAACATTTTCGACATTTGGCAGGAGGACCAGTTCGATTTCCACAGTTTCTCTCTTCGCAAGGGTCAAATCCGCGCATACGTGGACATGATTCGCTGGGAAGACAAGCTCAGGGAGCATCCATTCTACTTCCGGGCTGCTCTGGATGCCGTGAAGCTTTACCTGTCCATGTACGACAAGCCAGAAGGCGTGAACGGCGCCAATGGCAACAACGCCAACGGGGAAGACGCTGCCGAGAAGAAGAAGGCGGCCAAGAAGGCCAAGAAAGAGGCACAGAAGGCGGAGAAGGAAGCGGCAGAACGTGCCGCAAAGCAAAACCCCAACAAGGCACAGAAGGATAAGGAGGAGGAAGTCAAGAAGAAGGATGATGACCCGAACGGGGTGAAGCTCGCCGAGACGAAGGATCCCCTGGGAGATGCGATGAAGTTCTTGGAGCCACTTCTCCAGTTTAGCCCCAAGAACATTGAGGGCCAGATCGCGGGCTTTGAGGTCTACATCCGCAGGAGTAAGTCTTTCGTGTCAGTGATGAACGGAAAGCTCCGGCTTGCTAACATAACGATGCAGAAAAGTACGTGTTGGCCGCAAAGTGCCTCAAGGCAGCCCAGGCTCTAGATGAGAACCATGTCAAGGTTCAGGAGCTCGCGGCCACAATGCAAAAGACGATGGACGGTGTCCTGGAGTCTCTGGCCCCCAAGGTTCAAGAAGCGCTGAAGACAGAGCTCGCCTAAGAAGAGGTTGTAGAAACTACCAAGCGGCCGAGAAAAGTTGTTTCTGGAACACTAGTTATTGGTAAAAATGGGCAACGGCGGTGGGCGCTGATGTAGACTGGGCCATGTAGCTTCAACTGGGTTTGATCATGGTAGTTTGATGGTAAACAAAAGCGACATTACAGACGCATGCAGTAGTATTGATTGCTGTCTGCAGATGGGCAGGTGAGAATGTTGTGGTTTGCATGAGACATAGCGACACTTATCTTGTAGCACAATGCATACATCAAGATGAAAAATAGAACAGGGTCTGTATTATTGTGTCGTATGTAGGTGGCTACTTGAACAGTACACAACCCAGGCTGGCGGCGCGCTCTGGGCTAATTTCCGAGCTTCCCGATTTGTTAATGATGGAACCCTCGCATTCTGAACCCGGGGCGGTTTTTCGCTGCGAAAATGCGAGTCGATTAAACCCACCACAGGCCCGCTTTGTAGCCTGGGATCCCCCATACCCGTAGCCTCTTCTTTATTCACCAGCCGTGTTGTGTTATTGATAGCGGGCGGTGGTTTGAGGAGACCATCACCTTTGCGACACCCGACGTCTGTGGGGAAAGGATCATCCGCTGACGATTGCCCTTTGTCTGTTGCCGTCCCTGTTACCTTGCTGCACTGTTTTGTTGTTGGCGACACTTTCTCTTCTGGGGACCGCGCATTGTTTTGGTCGCCGTCTTTTGCTGAGAAACGGGCCTTCGCAGTATATTTTAATCTCCAGAACAAACAAACGCGAACCAACACGATGGACCAGGACGCGATGGCGAATCCAGCCAAGACAGCAAGCCCGGAAGTCGTCGAGGCCGCTGGTCAGGAATTGAACAATGCTCTTGTCCTCTCCCCGGGAGTTACACTCACTCTTGGGCCCGAGTCTCTTCTTATACCAGGTAGGCCCGCACTGTTAATGAAGCTCTTGGGCACATGGGAGTTATCAAAAGCTGACACCGGCGCAGACCAATTGGTAACCAAACCCAACCGATCATGTTTACCCAGTCTAGGTACAGATAGATGAGCAGTGTTGAACAAGACAGCATATGCTAACCCAATGACCAGAAACGAAGAAAGGCACACCAAGCAGCATTCCATATTACAACATTCTCTGGGCGGAGACTTCAGAAGACCGTAGTTGGCTCGTAGTGGACTATGCTCATGAAGATAGCCCGCATCATCTCATGGTTCGCAACCTAAAATTTGCCGTCCCGGCCCAGACTGCCGAGCAGACAGATGACTATATGATAAAATGGGTTGAGAGCCTCCTGAAGCGGGCCTACGGCACTGCCGTCCGCCGTAAGCGTGCTTGGGTCTTGGTAAACCCTCATGCTGGACCAGGGGGGGCCGACAAGATCTGGGACAAGGAGGTCAAGCCTATCTTTGAGGCGGCGCGTATACCCATGACGATCGTTCGGACAACATATTCAGGCGAGGCAGTGGATCTGGCCCAAGTACTGGACATCGACAATTATGACATTGCGATCCCGTGCTCCGGTGATGGGCTACCTCACGAGGTGTTCAACGGCCTGGCAAAACGGCCAGACGCCCGCCGGGCTTTGTCCAAGATTGCCGTGTGCCACATCCCCTGCGGTTCTGGAAATGCAATGAGCTGCAACCTCTACGGCACTCACCGGCCGACCCTGGCGGCGCTGGCCATCATCAAGGGGATCCCCACCCCTTTGGACCTGGTCAGCATCACACAGGGCGAAGAGCGGTTTGTCAGTTTCCTCAGCCAGGCCCTGGGCGTGATTGCCGACTTGGACCTGGGAACCGAGCATTTGCGCTGGATGGGAGCCGCCCGCTTCACCGTTGGCTTCCTCATGCTGGTTCTGCAGAAGAAGACATACCCCTGCGATATTGCCGTCAAGGTTGAAATCGAACACAAGGAAAGCGTGAAACGGCATTACCGGGAGCGCGTCATGCTGGGAAGCACCGACGTCGAAGCGAGCAACGGCAGCGGACAATCCAGAGCCTGCGATGGAACAGATGCCGATGGGTGCCCCACGACATCATCATCCCCATCCCTGAGTGCGGCAGTAGACGACGGTGGCCCGGGCCTCCCACCACTCAAGTATGGCACCGTCATGGACAAGCTCCCTGAGGGATGGGAGCTGGTGCCTTATGAAAAACTTGGTAGCTTCTACTGCGGAAACGTGAGTTTTGAATAGGCGGCCCCCGTGATATGTTGAAAGCTCAAACTGACCTTGCGGGTGTCTAGATGGCCTACATGGCGCCCGATGCCAACTTTTTCTCGGCTGCCCTTGCAAATGATGGACTCATGGATCTCATCATCACCCAGGGCGATGTCAGCCCACTCAAGTCTGTGGGCCTCCAGATGGCGGTCGATACAGGCGAGTTCTTCGATAGTCCGTTGGTCACCTACCGCAAGATTTCGGCATACCGTCTCATACCACGCAATGCAGGAAAGGGCGGCTACCTAAGCATTGATGGTGAGGCGAGACCATTTGAGCCGTTCCAGGCCGAGATCCATCAAGGCTTGGGCTTGACACTGTCCAAAAACGGCTGCTTCGAGGCACCCGGTCCCCTCAATTGGGACAAAGTCTCAACAAGTGAAAGGCTACTGGCGTGATAGCGTAGTGTTGTGATTAGCTTTCTTTTTTCTTTTATGGTTGGGCTCGGATAACAAATTGGAGGCACTGATGAGATGAGTTTCATATACCCATGGAAGTGGAGGCAGCGGTGTGAGTGAGCAAGCTTCTAAGCAGATTCGAGGCAGGTGTTTTCCTTGTTTCTTTCTTCACTTCGGCATTAGATCCACACGTCGGGGATAAAGTACTCTTTTCTATACATGGTCTGGCGTGAGATGCAAGCATATGTTGCGGCATTTGAAGTACGAAGAATCAACAAATTGGCATAAAGCGTTTTATGCTCCATCAGATAATTAGATTTCCATGAAGTTAGTCCTCGAAGCCATCCCAGTCGCCTCCATCCCCACCATCTGTCGTCGTTTGATCCTCTTCAACCGCGGACTTGCGGTTGCCTGGGAGACGCTCATCCCCAAGAGAATCTTTAGATCGGATGCGCACAGCTGGTCTCGTTGTGGCTTGCTCTAAAGCGTCCACTTGATCGATAAGGCGCTGTAAGATCTTGCTTGCCTCGACATCGTCCGCTTCTAACAGCCCGACCTTCTCAGCCTCATCCACCCATATGTCCAGTACATGCAGCCTCAACCCTACGGGTATCGTCTGGGGCACCAACTCTTCCTTTTCTGTTCCTTGCTCCACCCGCGCTTCGTCTTCAAGGGAAAAGGGCCATTCATTCAACAGATCAAGAATGTTGTCCACCCTTTGCATATCCCAAGCAGTCTCTTTCCCGCTCTTCTTCTTTTTGCCTTCATCTCCCTTCTTCATCCATTCGAACCCGCTGGCGACGACCCTCCTAACCAGCAGCAAGAACTTTTCCATGCGCAGCACATCGATGCTTGTCCACTCGCGCGCCATGGTCGCCCAGAAGCCGCGCAGCCAGGGGACGACAGCATGGCGAGGAAGCACATTGATAAGGTTGGCCAGCTCGGCGCAGAGGGTTTGTTGAGGAATCGCGCGATCACACATCCACAAGGCGAAAAAGAGGCCCTTCCAGAGTTTGAGGATGTCGAGGGTGGTGAGAGAGGAAGAGATTTGGCGGGACGAGAGGAAGGTATGAAGAGAGGCAAGCGCCGATGTTCGGATTTTACGGTCTGTTGGTGCCATTAGCAGGTCGCCCGCACTATTTACCTTTGACAGAAGGAAGGGGCTACGAACCACTTGAAGCCAAGTTTTTGATGAACGGCATGCTCCTTTCCTGAGACGCCATTTTGAAACGATGACGATGATGATGGGTGCTTTCGAATATTAAGTTGTGGCTTCTGGTGGGCTGTTTGAAGGACACAATCAGGATCGGCGGGATTGACTGGGAGGCAGGGATCGAGTGAATGGTTTGAACAGAGTAGAAGGCTGCGCCAGGAACGGACTCGATGGATGTTGAGCGAACGAAATCTTGTCCGCCCGGCAGAAAATATCTTCCCCACTCAAGGTCTATCAGCCGCACAAGGCGGTCAGCTTGAATGCGCTTGGCTTCTGGTTGGCTGCCTTATGGAAGTCCAGCTTTCCCCAGCTCATTGCTTTTTTGGGCTTGGTGACGCCACCAAAAGCCGTTTCACCTACATGCCTCATCGTATGTGCTTACACCTGGTGCCAGGTAGACTGAGCCGGCCTGGACTACAACTGATGAAACGCCAACCAGTCGCAACTTAATCCGTATCGTTGGATCCTATCTATGAGAGCTGCATATGTCTTATCTCGGAAGAACGGCCAGTTATCCTATCTGTCGCAACGGGGGGAAGACTTTTACTGTCGTGCAACCCTCAATCCCGAGTCTCGACCGTATTTTTTCTGCTTTTTCTTCTCCACTCACACAGATGTCGTCTGCTCGAGAGGGATTAACATGAGGTAAAAAGGCTCTGCTTCATTTGTCGGATAAACACCAGCCCCTGCAGGAGGGACAGGCAGTCTGTCAATGAAAGCTCTGCAACGTCTGAAAAATAGCGCCATGAGCGAGCCTGGCCGAGAGCTGTCACCATCCCGGCCCAAGATGACCCCTTTTTGAGCTCTTACCGCCTGTTTGTCTCCAACAAGCACCGGTGCTTGTTGATTCTTCTCCAGTTCCTCCACAACTCCCGCAAGAGCCGATAGCTGGAGAAAGCGGGCGGGGCGGGAAAGATGATCCCCCTTGCAGCAGCTAGCAACCTGAAAGATGGCACTAGGCCTTGGTTGGAAGGAAGCCAACCCGCTGCTAGCCATCAAGGGTAGAACTTGGATGGAGCTTCGATCCTGGCATGGAAGTTTCAAGGCGTCTCGTGGCTTCTCTATCACGTAATTCGAACGGGCACCTTGGCTAAGAGGTCTTGGAGAGGAAGGGGTCGAACATACTGCGTAGACCGGTGGAAACCAGGTGGACGAATTCCCCGTCATGTGTGTGCACCAACGGCGAGCTGTTGACGGAAACGGTCCACCGGTTTTACCACGATCATGGGCCGATGACCATGACAGTTGCCTCGGCGGGACTCGGTCGTTTGTCCAGCTTCACATGCACCTTGACGGACAACTTTCTACAAAGAAGCTTCAGCGCCCACCTCCCCGGCCAGATCGTCTTTTTTCCCCAGACTGTTTGAACCATTCATCTTTTCCCTAATTGTGCTTATCTTTGCCGTGCCAATACGAGCCTGCTCCCCCCCCCCCAACGTTTCGCAAAACGTTACACATCACACAGACCGGCACCCACACTAAAGTAGGCTCGCAAGTGCCTGATTACAACGGCGAATCGAACGACGGTCGTGCATGAATCGCACTGTCACCCTGTTCCGATCAGACGGAAGAAGCAAAGTGGCTGCATCGCAACCTGGAAGCGAGTAAGGACCAGAGATCCTGACCGACTGACTGTCCGCTGTCGGGCAATTGAATTGCGGGCTGTGCCGCCGAGTCCTACCACGCAAAACTGCGGTCGCACTGTCACCGGTACCGCAAGCCACCACCCCTCCAACCGTTCAAAATGTCGTCCAAAGCACCCAGTCTCACCGTCTCCTCCTCCCCATCAACTTCCACCTCGACCTCCCTCTCCCGACTTCAGACCATCGCCAACCACATGTCTCCCGCATCAATAACAAACTTTCCCGCCGAGGCTGTGCCTCAGGCCCCCGAAGACCCTCTCTTTGGCCTCATGAGGGCATACAAGGCGGACCAAAACCCCGACAAGGTCGATCTCGTACGTCAGAGCTGTGTGACACCTCTCCACGTCTTTGCAGCTCGCAAGCTGACCACTCGTCCAACTCTAGGGAATCGGTGCGTACCGCGACGACAATGCAAAGCCGTGGGTTCTCCCGGTTGTCAAGAAGGTGTGTTACTTTTCCTTATTTTGCTACCCGTGGTGTTGTGCTGTAGCACCGTTGCTGCTTTCACATTTAGCCGGGGAGACGGCGGGAGGCTTTTCCCAACGGGAAGAGTTCTCCTGCCAGCCAGCAGGGTGCTCAGAGCAGGGCCCCCGGTTTTAGCGCTGCTGCCCCGCTATTCCCAAGAACCACAGCTCTCCCCCACATTGTCTCTCCCAAGGAGTCTAGACAACAGACGGCCAGTCACTAACCAGCCGGAACAACCAGGCCGATGAGATTTTACGCAACGACCCCGAAGCGAACCACGAATACCTCCCCATTGCTGGTCTTGCGTCGCTTACCAGCAAAGCGGCCGAGCTACTACTGGGCACCGGAGCTCCCGCCATCGCCGAGAAGCGTGTAGCTTCTGTACAGACCATCTCAGGAACTGGTGCCGTCCACTTGGGTGCCCTTTTCCTTGCCAGATTCTACAAGGTGAATGGCGCCAACCGCACGCTCTACCTCAGCAACCCTACCTGGGCGAACCACCACCAGATCTTCACCAATGTCGGCATCCCAATCGAGCAGTATCCCTACTTCGACAAGAAGACCAAGGGCCTGGATTTTGAGGGGATGAAGGCCTCCCTCGCCAATGCCCCGGACCGCAGCATCATCCTCCTGCACGCCTGTGCTCACAATCCCACCGGTGTTGACCCCACTCCCGAGCAATGGCGTGAGATTGCTGAGCTCATGAAGGCCAAGAAGCACTTCCCTTTCTTTGATACGGCCTATCAAGGTTTTGCTTCGGGTGACTTGGACCGCGATGCCGGTGCTATCCGTTACTTTGTCGAACAGGGCTTCGAGCTCGTCATCGCTCAGTCCTTTGCCAAGAACTTTGGTCTCTATGGCGAACGTGCTGGCTGCTTCCACTTTGTGGCCCCTCCAGCACCGGACGCTGCCGAAGTCACCACCCGTGTAGCTTCCCAACTGGCCATTCTGCAGCGGTCAGAGATCAGTAACCCGCCGATTTACGGCGCCCGCATTGCCTCGATCGTGCTGAACGACAAGGATCTGTTTGCTGAGTGGCAAGAGAACCTCCGCACCATGTCTGGCCGCATTATTGCCATGCGCCAGGCGCTGCGGTCCAAGCTGGAAGAGTTGGGCACGCCTGGCCAGTGGAACCATATCACCGACCAGATCGGTATGTTCAGCTTCACTGGCCTGTCTGAAGCTCAGGTCCAGAAGATCAGGTCAGATTTCCACATTTACATGACCAAGAACGGGCGCATCAGCATGGCTGGTCTGAACACCAGAAATATCGAGTACGTGGCCAAGGCCATTGACAGGGTTGTGCGTGACTTGTCATGAGTTGAGTTTGGTTTGTCCGTTGAGGCTTTTGCCCAAACAGCTCCGAAATGAACCAGTCAGTCTGGGTTGTTTGTGGGACATGGAGTTCTGTTTCGCGTCGTTTTCTTCCTTTCGAAAAGCTTTTTCTGGCCAATGGCCGAGTTTTGACAGTTGTCTGTAATGGTACCTCCGAGAGACTCTTGGGTACCTTGGGTTATTCTTTAGATGGTTAAGCATGTGAACGCTGGGGTGGAGAAGAAAAGTGCATGAGCATTACGGACATGCATTGGGAATATGAATGATTTTGTACTTGCGGATAGAAGTGTGCTGGACAGAAGTGTGCTGGACAGGAGTCGCACCACTCTTGCTTCATTAGATATGGTCATTGAATGTCAGGTCCTCGGTTTTACCTTCCAAGCAAGGGGTCAAGTTGAAATACATTTGGCTAAATTATCAAGTCCCAAAGAACAAGCGCGGTACATAGCCCTGTGGCAGCAAAGAAAGTGTATCGAGCAGGGCTACTCCTCGAGGTGCTCTTCTTGAGCTCTTTGTTGCCTTTCCCAATACCTTCCGTCGTGTCAAACGACTCGGCCACCAATTGGTCGATATGAGCCGACTGAGCAGTGAGATTGCCAACTAGTAAGTTCTGCAACTCAGCAATCTCGATGAGTGACTTTTCTGCAGTTCTGTTCAGCTGTCAGCATGCAGTTGAGTCTGTAAGCCTCGGCTGTGATAGATTCGTACCTGACTTTATCCAGTGTGCTTTCATAATGCTTAAGCATATCCTGGTTCCCCTTTTCGAACATCTGAATCTGATCCTCGGTAAGGTCGTTATCAAGGCGTGGCTTCGGCCTTTGCTCCTCTTCAGCAGCTAGACTGGCATTATGCACATTCGGCCTTGCCCCCGCAGTAACTGGTTCGGCAGTGTAGCCCCCTCCAGAGGCCAGCAACACAGAGCCTTTGGCCCTGGCTAGCACACTCCTGTTCTTTTCAAGCTCCCTGGCCAAGCGAGTCTCCATCATGCGCTGCTGTGTCCGAATGGTTTCCCGTAAGCGTGTCGAGAGATACCAGATGATACTGTCTCTGTGGGCTTCCAGCTGATGCGCCGCAGCCTCTGCCATCTCCTGCTCCTTGCTCTTGCCCAACATAGCTCCACCAGCTGCCCAAGAACCCAAAGCGCCGAGTCCGTGGGAGAACCGTTTCTTTAAAAGCGCTGCCGCCGTGCTCTGGCGCAATTTCTCGGCGTCCTCGAGCGCGCGGATGCGAGCATTGAGATCTCGAATCGTCATCTTGGCGTTGGCGTCGATCTCTTCTCTGTCGCGGTCGGTGAGGAATATAGGCTGGGAGGAGGCATTGCGGAGGTGAGTCTTGCGCGGGGCGGCGGTGGAAAGATAGGCCTGTCTCAGGTTGCGCAGTTCGGAATGGAGACGGGCAATAAGGGTGTTCTATGCTCAGGCTGCGTGTTAAAGAGACGAACAGGAGTAGCTCAGGGGTCAAGCTTCAGGGTTGTCGGAGACATACTATCCTGTGGGCTTCTTTTAGGAACTCGTCGGCCGTATCCAGATTAAAAGGCTTGGTTGGAGGAGCCTCTCGGCCCTTCAAAAGGGCGTTGAACGCTGTGGTAAGGTCGGCCATGTGAACGAAAGTTTGGGTTGTTGCTATCGCCGGCAACTGCTTGACGTGGCTTTGGCGGTTTGGGAGATGACGGAGTTGGCTCAAGCTTTGTGGCTTGCTGGCTGTCTCGGCGGGCGAAACCTTGCCAAGAACCGAGCCTGCTGACCCACTATTCGGCTTCACCCCGGATTTTCGGACCTCATTCGGCTGGTCATGGCGTTCTTCAGCTCCCGTTGAGGTACCACTACCTTGAGATACAGGCCCATCATCCATTCCGGTTTTCGGTAATGCCCGAGTCCACAATCACATTAACTTACTTGCTTGAACGTGACCGCTTTTCCATTGTTTGTAGTCATATGGTCCCCAATGAGATCTCAATGACGACAGTGATGGGTATACGACTTTCTCCTGGGTGGCGGTCTTCGGTGCCGGGGCCGGCGGAGTACCCACGGCTCGAGGCACATCCTTCCAACTTGATGAACTAGAAGCTTAGCATCCTCCCTGCCATGTGGGCCCGAAGCCGCAGTCCGCCTCACTTACAGTTTTCCTCTTTCGAGGCTCATCTTTGTTACCATCTTTGCCATTACCAAGCTTCGGGAATAACAAGGCCTTCCTTCTTCCACGCCCTTATCCGACAAAAGTTGGGTCCAGGGACTATCTCCTGCAAGGCGACCGATTGTGCGCAGGCACCGTTTAACCTCTTCTGGTTTGCCGCCGTCCTGCAAGGCCGGCTGATCGCGTTGAGTAGGTAGTGAAGGCAGCGGTGGAGCGTGATTCATTACTTAATGTAATTCCTCTCATCCTCCATGTTTCTTGACTGTCCATCTCATCTTATCTTCACATTACCCCCGTGAGGCCTACCCTACCGAGCATGATGGACCCTCATCAAGATCCGCCGCTCCAACGAGAGAGTCAAAAATACGATGCCGAAGATGCCGGTGATGGCCGGCCAGCAGACAACAGCTCGAGCAACATCAACGACACCACATCTGATTCAGATCCAGAAGCATTGGCTCAAGTACCCAGCGGTCCAGCTTATAGTGTCTTCTCCAAAAGTACGAAACGATGGATCGTGACCATGATCGCTTTCTCCAGCTTCGTCTCACCGTAAGTCACCACCACACTGCCTCCGAGTTGGTGAGAAATCCGATACAAGTGCTTGCTTAGCTAACCTCCGAGAAAGAATGACAGCAAATATATACTTTCCGGCTCTGGTGCCTATAGCTCGGGATCTTGACGTCTCGGTCAGTATGATCAATCTCACCCTGACCACCTACATGATCTTTCAAGCCATCGCCCCCACACTTGTTGGCGACCTAGCAGATGCCGCTGGCAGAAGACCGGCCTTTTTGATATGCTTCGTCATCTACATCTTTGCCAACCTCGGCCTAGCTCTGCAGAAGAACTTTGCCGCGCTTCTGGTCTTGAGGATGGTTCAGAGTGCAGGCAGCAGTGGGACAGTAGCTCTTAGCTTTGCTGTGATTGCGGACGTTGCAGTCAGTGCCGAGAGGGGTAAATACATGGGAATTGTTGGCGCCGGCATCAATATTGGTCCTGCCCTGAGCCCGGTATTTGGAGGTCTCCTTGCCGAGTACCTCGGCTGGCCAGCTATATTCTGGTTCTGTATGATTTACGCCGCGGTCTGGCTCGTACCGTACGCCCTGACGGTGCCTGAGACATGCAGAAACGTGGTGGGCAATGGTTCAATTCCAGCCCAGAGCTGGTGGAACATGACGGCCGTCGACCTGTGTCGTGCTCGCCGCCGGAAGCGCAATGGGGAATCATTGGGTGGCGCCCGCACCAAGCAAAAGCTGCGCTTTCCGAACCCGTTTAATACACTCAAGGTGGCCTTCGAAAAGGACCTCGCCCTTCTTCTGTTTTACGGCACCTTGACCTACTTGGTGTTCATTCTCATTGCGGCAACACTGTCTACCGAGCTTGAAGCTATCTATCACTACAGTGACCTTCAGCTCGGTCTATGCTACCTGCCCTATGGAGTCGGATGCTGCTTTGCCGCTGTCATGCAGGGGTACATTCTGGACCACAACTACCGCCGAATAGCCCGCAAGATAGGCTTCACCATTGACTACAAGCGTGGCGACGATCTTTCGAATTTTCCGATAGAAAAGGCTCGCATACTACCAGCTTCCCCATTCCTTTTCGCCGGAGTAGCGGCTGTAATCTGCTATGGCTGGGTACTTCACTTCGAAACCCATGTTGCAGGACCACTGGCACTAGTCTTCCTAATCGGCCTCTGTGTGACAGGGTCCTTCTCGATACTCAATACTCTTCTTGTGGACTTGTACCCTGAAGCTCCCGCCACCGCCGTAGCGGCCATGAATCTCGTCAGGTGTCTCTTTGGCGCTGGTGGAACGGCCGTGATCGAGTACATGCTGAGGGCTATGGGGAGAGGATGGACATTTACTTTCTGGGGACTAGTTCTCGTGTTATTTTCTCCTATCCTCTGGGTCTTGGCCAAATGGGGCCCTGGATGGCGAGAGGAGAGAAGAGTGCGGAAGCTCAAAGAGGAGGAAAAGGAAAGAGCGGTTACATCACGGCCCTGAGAGGAAACTTCTTGAGGTGTGTATACCCACGGAAGCTGCAGACATTTGGAGGTAGCAGCATAATGTTCATGCTGAAAACTTCATAGTTGGCTCAGAAACAACATGACAGTGGTGGTCACACGTGGCCTTGGTGGTCGTACCTGGCCTTGCTAATTTATAGAAAAAAATTGAACAACTATAAATAGCAAAGAAAAGAAAAACCGAAAGCAAAAAGAACTGCCAGAGCCGGGATTTGCACCCGAGTTTCCGCCTTGCTCCAGATTTGGAAGGGCGACGAGTTAACTACTACTCCACTCAGGCTTGCACATTACACTACACGCAACTGCTTCTGTTGTTTTGTTGCTGCTGGGACCAGTCGTTTGGCTGATGTTGGCATCGTTGGGTCAGGAGCCAACCGGTGCCTGCTCATGCAGTGTGAGAGCAGGCGGACATGGAATACGGTTGGTTGTGAGACCTATTCTGGTATCAAAACGAGATAATGGATGAAGAAAACTGTGCTATACATCTACCATTATGAAACAGACATGGTGACAAATGTTGGATATATCTCCCTTACACAGAAGTACATGGTCGACAACTGATGGATGATCCCCAGGTCTCAACGAGCCCAACTCAAGACCAGGATGCATATGCTGATGTCCAAAACCGAGCGCCACTTCCATGAAGAACACAAACGAATGAGTACAGGGGGAAAGTTTGCACAATCACAATCCAAGAGGCCAACAAAGTAAAGTAAACATAAACCGAAACAAAACAAGTGATGAAGTGCTCCCTCAATCTAAACAAACCAACCAACCACCTTATGCAACCCATCCAAAATATCGTACTCAACACTTCATATCGTCTCAAAAAAAAAAAAAAACAGAACCAGCCGTCATCTCTCATCACTCTCATACAACATTCAGTTTTTCCCAGCGAGTCTCTTCCACCACGAGCTTCTTGGCGTGGCAGCATCGAATGTTGAGCTGCGTCGAGGATCACGGCGCACATCTCCACTGCCATCCGATCCTTTGTGATAGTCCCGTTCGGGGGGGTAGCGATGATCACGCTCAGCACGATCCCTCTCCCTCTCCCTATCCCGCTCCCGTTCCTCGCGTCGCTTTCTTCTTCGTCTTTCCTCGTCAAGATCTTCAGCAGTCATCCCGCCATTCTCAACAGCTGCCGCCTCAGCATATCTTGACCGACGTCTCGCCCTACGAGCTTCACGGCGTGCCTCTTCCTCATCAATCACCTCTTCGACGGGGAGAGGACCCTCATCTTCTTCCTCATTTTCTGGAGGCGGTGGCGCATCAGAATGCTCCTTCACCCAGGATGACGTGCCCGAATGCGGCCACGAGCCAGCCGTGTTTTCTCTTGCGTGCTGGTGCTCATTAGGATATACCGAGTGCTCGACAGGAGGTTCAGAACGATGTCGTCCGTTCACATGATGACGCTCCTCCCTCACTTGGGCTTCTTGCGCAGCGCGTCTTGCATCACGGCGACGGCGTCGTTCTTCTTCTTCTGGGTCACGCTGTGCAAAATCTTCGGGCTGGTGGCTGCGGTGACGACGGTGGTGGCGTTCTTCTTCAACAATATCCCGAGCCGGCTCTTCCGGCTGGTGACCGCGGCGACGCTCCTGGTGTCTCGCTGCCCGGCGGGCCTGAGCATCGGCTTCGGCAGCCTCCCTCTCTGCACGTTGCCTGCGACGCTCCGCTCTCTCAGAATCCGGCTGCTCTGCATATCGCCTGTCAGCTTCCTCCCGAGCACGTTGAGCACGTCTTTCCGCACGCCGTGCTTCTTTTTCTTCCTGTCTGCGGGCCTCTTCTTCTTCTTCTTGTCTCTTGCGTCGCCGACGGCGTTCTTCATCCTTGGCCCGGCGGGCTTCCTCGGCTGCTTGTTCACCTGCACCCCTCTCTGCAGCTTCCTTCTCGGCTCGGCGTGCAGCACGACGAGCAGCGCGGCGAGCCTCCCGCTCAGCTTCATCCTCTTCGACTCGTCTTCCAGCTTCCTCATCCGTCGTTGTAAAAGCAGTGCTGCGCCTACGAGGCTCTGGGCGCGAATCCAGACGAGGGTCTGTGGAGCGCGGATCCAAACGGGGATCCGACTTGCTCGGTGTAAAGACACCACCAAAGAGAGAAGAGAACCCCGATTTCTTATTCGCGCTCGAGGCTGAGCGCTTGAGAGGAGGTCGAGTAGGGGTCGCATCCCCGGCATCAACCATGACAACATCATCCTCCGGACGGGGAGGGTATTGCTGTTGCGGCCCGTGGTCAGTATTCCGTCCGGGGGGGTTCGATACCGGGGTTGTCCAACTCACTCTCGACCGACGCCGTTCCGCCTTGTCCGGGCTGGGTGGTGTGGGATCGACCATGACCACATCTCCCTCCTCGTCGACGGCTGAGACACGGTTAGCAAAGTGGTCACCAAATCGTCCATCGACCGATGTATCCTTACACTTTCTACTGCGTCTACCGCTGGATCTTGAAAGGCCGATGCCGAGGCCAGTAGCAAGGCCGGCAGCACCACCGACACCAAGGATCTTGGCCGCCTTGGACGACATCTCCTCAGGGGGTGGGCTCATGATTCCACCAGACATTTCCACAGACTGCCGCCGTGAACTTGGCTTGCTGCTTGAAGTGTGTCGTTTCTCACGGGTTGCGACATTCCGAGAGATGGGGGGAGTGCTGGCGAAAACGCTAGGGAATCGATTTGCCGGGTTGTCTTTGGAGCGCACCCTGTCAATCTTCTCTGGCCTATCCTCCGACCCTGAATCTCTGGATGAGGACTTCTCAGCTTTGGCAGCAGAGGACGCCTTCTTCCTGGAGCTTGATTCCCTTTCCCTCTCTTTTTCTTTACTTCTTGATGATGATTTCTTGGGACTAGGCTCCTGTGGAGGAGGAGGCGGAGGCGGAGGGGGAGCAGCAGCTGACCACATGTTCCAAGATGCACCGTCGCGATTGATTTTAGTCCGCTCTTTCTTGACAGAGCGTGAAAAAGGAGGGGACATGGGCGACATGGGCGGAGGCGGCGGATCAGGAACAGCAGGGGGCGGTACCGGAACAGGAGGAGGAGGTGGTGGATGGATCTCATCATCAACGACCTCGGGAGAGCTGGCAGCCCTTCTCGACCGTTTACTGACTTTCTTTTCCGGCGCCATTTCGATGATATCAACAATCTCGTCATCGTCTCCTGAATCCATGATGTTGCGCCGGCGGGGGTGATCGTCGAGGTGGTCTTCGTCGTCGAGCGGGAAGCCGCCAGGAAAGCCGGTGTGTGTTGAGCGCGGGAGGTAGGGGGCTGCTGCTGGCGGAGGAGAAGGCGGCGCAGGTGGGGGAGGAGGCGGAGGAGCTGCAAAGGCTTCGACGTCGATGATAGCAGGTTCCGAGCTTCTGGGCTTGTCCTTTTCTTTGCCCTTCTTGTCCTTGCTCTTCTTTTTCCTCCTCTCCTCCTTGGGCGTTACAACCTCAACGGGAGCGGGAGGTGGTGGAGCGGTTCGGGGAGGAATATCGTCGATCGGTGCTTCGTACTCGTAGGGGTCGTATTGTTCGTAGCCGCCGTACTCACCCCAAGCTCCGGCCCTGTGGTTGTCGCGACTGTCTTTCTCTTCGTCGTAAATATCGTCCTTGTCGCGCCTCTTGCCCCTATCGTCATTGTCGTTGTCGTTGTCGTGTTCAGCGCCCGAGATATCCTTATCGTCGTCGGCAACTTCAAAGGCGCGCATGCGATCGGCGATCTTGTTGCTTCTGGGTTTCGTCGGCTTGGCCAGATCGGGTGATGGCGAGGTCCCAGCTTCGGTGTGCCACACCGATTTGCCGCCGAAAGCACCCAGAGCTGACAGGATCTTGGACGATGACTCAGCATGGTTGCTACCTGTATGAATATCCGGCTCTGGTGGTTGCGGTGGACTGTCCAGTGCCTGAGGCAGCAGCGAACTGGTTTTTTGGCTTTTGGAGATTGACTTCTTCGCAGCCCCCCAGAAGCTGAAGGGGTCATCGCCGGGCCCATCCCTCGTTTCAACTGGCTCAATCGACGCTTTGTCTTTGAGTCCCTTACCCGCGGGCCCGTCATCCAGTAGCTCCTCGAGTTGCTCGGCTGTGATATCAGCATCGTTGAGGTCTTTGAAAAGATCGTCTTCGTCTTCGGCAGTTAGATAGTTGGCCTCATCCTCCTCTTCCTTCTCCTTCTCCTTCTCCCTTTCCCTCTCCTTCTCCCTTTCTCGCTCCCTTTCCCTTTCCTTCTCTTTACCCTTCTTTTTATCCTTCTTCCTATCCTTATCCCTATCCTTGTCCTTATCCTTATCCCTATCCTTATCCCTATCCTTATCTTTCTTTTTGTCCTTTTCTTTTTCTTTTTCTCTCTCGCGCTCCCTCTCCCTCTCCCTCTCACGCTCCCTCTCGCGTTCCCTGTCACGTTCCCTCTCCTCCTCTTCTTCCCGCTCACGTTCCTTATCCCTTTTACTCTTACTCTTTCTATCACCCTTCTTAGACTTCTTGGAAGACGCTGCCTCGGCCTCTGCTGCTGCCTCTGCCCGTGCTCGTTCTGCTGCAGCTTCTGCTTCTGCCGCTGCAGCTGCTTCTTCTTCTGCTGCTGCAGCCGCCGCCGCCGCCTCTGCAGCCTCAGCCTCCTGTCGTTCACGTTCTTCCTCTTCGCGCTCCCGCTCAGCAGCCTCTTCAGCCTCTAGCTTTGCCTTTTCTTCAGCTTTCTTGGCATCGTGGTCGGCCTCTTCCTGTCGTTCCCGTTCTCGGTCTGCTTCTTCTGCCTCACGCGCTTCTTTTGCCAATGCCCGCCTGTTGGCATTCGCCTCAAGCTCATCCATCCGCTCTTGTTCAGCTCTCGAGATACCTTTTCGCTTCTTCTTGTTCTTCTTGGCCACGAGAGCAGCTAGTTCCTGCTCCTCCTCTCTGGCAAGCTCCTCTTCAGCTTCCCTGCGTGCCTGCTCTGCAGCCTCCTCCACTTTGCGCTTTTCCTCTTCGGCAGCAGCCCTCTCAATTTCTTCTGGCGTTGGTTCCGGCTTGGTGGACACATCCGACGACTCCCCAGACTTCTTCTTATTCTTGCCTGACAACCAACCAAAGAAGCCGCCGCTGCTCTCGGTAGACGCACGCGGGTCAGCTTCGACATGGCTACCGTTCTTGTTGTCCAAGTCAAGAAGGTCCTTGGTGCTTGAAGTCTCGTGATGGGCCATCTTGTTGCCGCTCAGAGAGCCCCAGAATGCATCGTCGTCGTCATTTTCCGGTTCTGGTTCCGGCTCGGGGACAGCCTCCATCTCGGGTTCTGGTTCTGGCTCGGCCACCTTCTTACCCTTCTTGTCCTTCTTGTCTTTCGACTTCTTGACTGGCTCCGGTCCAGGCTCAGGTTCGACAGCTTTTTTGCCCTTCTCCTTCTTCTTCTTCTTCGATGATGTGCTCAGGCCCCATGGATCGTCATCTTCTCTTTTCTTTTGACGTTCGGGCTCAGGCTCGGGTTCTGACTCAGGCTCAGGCTCAGGCTCCAGCTCCGGTTCTGGTTCAGGCTCTTTTGGAGGTTCTGGCTCGGGTTCCTTCTTGCCCTTCTTCTTCTTAGTAGAAAACCCAAAGCTCCACATACTGTGTTCTAAAATGTCAGGCTCCGACTCAGGCTCCGGTTCTGGTTCTGGCTCGGGCTCGGGCTCCGGTTCCTTCGCAGGTTCAGGTTCAGGCTCATGCTCAGGCTCAGCAGCCTTTTTCCCTTTGTCCTTCTTCTTCTTCTTGGAGGAAGTAGCTGCAAGGCCCCATGGATCATCTTCCTCCTTCTTAGAACGCTCCGGCGCGGGCTCCGGAACAGGCTCGGGTTCAGGTTCGAGTTCGGGTGCTTTGGCAGGCTCGGGCTCTGGGTCTTTACTCCTGCCCTTCTTCTTCTTCCCCTTAGTCGCAGTGACGCCAAAGCTCCAAAAGTCATCTTCTTGTTTCTTTTCGGGCTCTGGGACAGGCTCAGGCTCAGGTTCTGGTTCCGGGTCCTTGGGTGGCTCTGGCTCTGGCTCTGGTTCAGGCTCGATTTTTTTGCCCTTCTTCGACCTGGTCTTCTTGGACGAAGTACCCCAACCCCAGGAATCCTCCACCTCCTGTTCCGGCTCCGGCTCTGGGTCAGGAACAGGTTCAGGGGTGAGCGCTCGTTCCGGTTCAGGCTCGGGCTCTTTGACAGGCTCTAACTCCGGCTCCGGCACGGCGTTCTTCCCCTTTTTCTTCTTCCTCTTCGATGTTGTGGCAATGTTCGCCCATGGATTGTCCTCTTCATACAACTTGGGTGGCTCGGGTGTTGGATCGGGAATTGGCTCAGGCTCGGGTTCAGCTGTTGGTTCACGGGGAGGATCCGGCTCCTTTGGCTGTTCATTGGCAATGGTGATCTTACCTTTCTTCTTCTTACCCTTTACGGGGGCAGCTCCCCAGGCATCATCTGTTTCTGTGCTCTTGGTCGGTTCCGGCTTAGGATCTGGCTCCCTGGGAGGCTCTGGCGCAGGCTCCGGTTCTGGTTCGGGATCAGGTTGAGGCTTCTTCTTATTCTTGGGCGCTCCCCAGAAGTCCCATGCATCATTCCCTCCTGATTTAGAGCCCGGTTCCACCTTGGCCTCTTGGACAAGAAGATCATTCTTCTTCTTCTTAGCTGTTGCGGTGGACGCGGAGGCGAACCAGTCGTCTGCCGGTGGGTCATCCGAAAGCTTTTCTGGCGCAGTTGGTCTTTCGACAGGTTTCTCGGCCGACTTTTTCACTGGCTTTTCGACTGGTTTTTCGACCGGCTTTTCGACTGGTCTTTCGAGTGGCTTCTCAGCCAGTTTCTCAACCTGTCTTGCACTTGATTTCGGTCTCTGAATGTGCTCTTCAGAGCCAGAACCGTCTCCAAAAGAGAAGCCCACTCCGATTTTGGACTTGAGACCCCACGGGCTATTCTCGACAACCTTTGATGCCAGGCCAAGTCCACCCCATCCCAAGCCGCTCCAGCCACCAAACCCGCTCTTTTGCGCTGGCTTGGGCTCTTCTTTCCGAGGCGGATCACGATTCCCGTTCATCTTGATGTTCGAGAAGGAATCAAAGGTAGGCCCTGCTGAAGCGGCGGCTAAACCAGAATCGGTAGACTTCTTCGGATCTTCCACTGCCGGAGGCTCGGGTTCTGCGACGCCCTTCTTCTTCTTCTTAGAACCAGTACCGACCAAGTCATCCTCGGGAGGCGGCGGAGCTTCCTCAGTCTTCTCTTCTGCCTTCTCTTCTACCGTTCCTTCCTCTCTTTTCTCATCCTCTTTCTTGTCGTCGTCTTTGTTTTCGTCCCCACCGCCGCCATCTCCGTTGGGGCTACCGCCAGAGCCCCCGGTCCCATCACCATTGGCGCCAGCGTCACCTCCTTCAGCGTCCTTCTTCTCGCCCTCGTCGTTGTTACCGTTGCTGTTGCTGTTGTTGCTGATATAGTTGGGTTTCGCCGCCCCTCCCTTCTTGTTGTTCTTCTTCTTCGCGGCCTGTCGGAAACCTTCGTTCGTGGCTAGATCGATCTGATAATCTCTGGTCGGGTCAGCAAGGATGTCATTCTGATGACGTCTTCCTCCGGCTCTAGACCTGGCCGCGAGAACATCCGCGAGCAAAGGGTCTACCGAGAGGTGACGACTTTGCGCATATGCGCCGCTTCCTGTCAGATCCTGAACATCCCATTCCAGGCTCCCAGTCTCTTCAGTGGCCCGACTTCTAGGGATGATGCTCGGGATGGTGAGAGGCTTGACGATTCTTCGTGAGTCGGCATCTAAGGTTGGCGAGCCCTAGGTAACGATTTGTCAGTTGCTGAGAAAGAGCCAGGCATATACACATGAGCGATGAGATGCTGGTAAAAACTGGCTGAGAACATTGTCTCTTGGCCAAACACGAAACAGGCGCGCAAAAGGGGGGGCCTTTGATCCCCTTACCTTGGGGCCTGCGCAAAGCGCAATCCAGCTCCGTGCAATGAAGGCTAGCCTAGCCTCTATGAAATCCGAATCTTGGTGGCGCTCGTCTTTCCCGTCCCATGTAAGCCCGTTGATCGAGTATATGATCTTGGTCGCCTCCAATCTGACATCGTCCGCCCAGTTATCGCGGAGTGGCAAAGCGTCAAGAGCGGCCATGGTGAAGGTTGATGGAGCTGACGGTGTGTCAACCGACGACTGGAACACACATGTGGTGCAGCCTCGACGGGTTCAAAGCTACAATCCGATCGAGTCGGTGTTTGTCGCAAAGAAAACAAGGCAGCCTTCGAATCAAGTGTGTTGAGAGACCGGAAAGGAGTCTTCACGATGGTCGACCGCTGTTTCTAGGGCAGCCCCTTTCCGAAAAGACTTTTTTTCTCCCTGCTGAAAAAGTATTCGTCGTCTGGTGAAAAATCTGGGTGTGTTGAAGAGCCAATCGCCCGGCCGGATCTCAGAGGTACACGGCGGCGGGATAGGGATTGGTGTATTGTCGAGGCCGCGTCGCGTTGTGCCACCACACCGCTGATGCAGTGCGATACAGTCTTGTTGATTATGGCCCCCGCCTCAGCAGGGTGCGGACAGGATGAGTGGTCGGCGCACAGGTGGTCAAACAGAAACCAGAGCAGGCAAAAGAGAGGCGGAAAGGAGAGCACGGTTCCGTTGCCGTACAAAAGAGGTATTCATGCACGGCCGAGGGTACTTTGATGTACCGGATTGTCGCAGGACAAATCGGAGAACAGCCACGGCGATGTTATGCGATAGCCACCGCCTTGCTCTGTTTCTTCTTCCTGATCTTGGTTTACTGAAGAGGGAAATGCCCCGCGCTAACCAAGCAACAGTTGCGCTCACCCTCTTTTCCCTCTCTCTGGCCCAGTCACGCGTGTAGTGTCAGTAGGTGGGACTGCTTGGTGCTCCTCCTCTTTCTCTCTCGACTTGTGCTGATGTCCCCGACCGACTCCCAGCCGTGCGCTTGACACCACAATTTGACCTGGAGCGCACTTTGCGGGATGGCTGGGGATGGCTGCCATTGGCTGGCTGCAAGGGATGGCTGCTCCAATCCGGTTAGGGCGAGGTGATCCATCCCAGTCCCGACACCAAAAGCTCCCCTTGCCCCTCGCCAATTCCCCCCTGTCAACAGCCCAAACCCAGCTCTCGACGTTGTGCACAATGTGAAACCGTGAGAGAGCGTTCGAAATCAAACGGCTAAAGACGGGTGCCATAGGCCAGCCAAGCTTTGATATAACAGAACGGACCAAGCCGAGTCCACGGCTGCCGCTATGGTTATTATATGTGTGCACCATGCCACCGGAAGACAGCATCCAACACTCGACGCCTTGGCCAATCGCTTGCTGGTATCCGTACAGGTCCTGCCATCGTGTGTGTCGGCGTGGAGAGGGCCTCATCTGCTGTTGATGCGGCATCCCGAAACATGGTGCAATGGGTGACGACTTCCATGATGCCCCTCTCACCCTCTCTGGCCAAGATAGCGGGGAATCGTGAATGCCCCGCGTGGGCTCATGGGGGTCAGGGTAGCGTTCGGCCATGTCTCTGTCGCCCACCTGACCCAGCCGAAATCGGTGGGGCTCCCCGATGAACGTTGGTAATTGAGGGTTCGGATGATTCCACACGTTGTTAGCCATCGATATGCCCGTCATGAGACTCGGCAGCGCGCCATGGTGGGTTCTTGTCTTTTGGCTGCTGGCATTGAGTGCATGGGGGCTCGGCATCGAAAGTCGTTCGGGACTGGACAGACTCGTGTGTAAGTGGTAGGAGATTAGGAGATGCGCGCAACGCGATCTGGGGGTACCCTTCCTGCATCAAACGCGACGGGCAATGGCGAATCATCTTTCTGCCCAAGGTTGAGATGCGTTGCAGGCTGGGCAGCTATGCGCCGCTAGCGAGGATTTCGATGGCTGCGTTGTGAGGGCCCGGTGTGGCCTCTGATCTTGGGACACAGAGAAGTTGCACAGAGGCACACAAGGAGCAAACAGCTTGACACAGTCTCCCCAAAAGAGAGCCAGCAGCAGAGACTGTGACGGGAACAAGCAGTATGATGGATGCTCAGATCCGCATCATGTTTGACAACTGTGGTCCATACACCACATCCTCCATAATATGCAGTGGGGTTCCCTATCAAAAGAGAACATCAAAGTTCATGGGACGACAGGCAGTGACCCGCTCATGCAGCTTGACGCAGAGTTGATGCAGAAGAGGTGCCCGTCCCATTTGTCGTCCTCTTCACCGCCAGAATGCGCCTGGGGCAAGAAAATGCTCTTTTTTTGACGTGTCTAATCCGATAGGGCTGTCGTCCGCTCAGGAGTGAAGGGTGGTCAAATTTGATAGGTACCATCAGTACGGAGTAGCTGGGGGTGTAAGTTGCCAAATGTTCGGAGCCGGAGGCGACCTTGACCTTGATAACGGCTCCTCCCGAAATGATCGTCAAGCCTTCCGGAGGCTGGGCCCACCTGTGTGTGTCCACTTGAGCGATCCCCGGCCTGTATCCCGGCCTTGTACCCCGGCGAACTGACCGGGCTGTCGACGGGGCTGAAGAACCGAAGCACCGGACACCTCCATCATGTCTGCCTTTTGGCCCCCGACGCGGCAGCTGCACGGCCAAAGAGGGCTGAGCCACACCGTATTTAGAACAGTCGAGTCCACCAACCCTGGACCGTTTCATGTTGGTCCCAACGCGGGGGAGTGGATGTCGGGGAGTTAATGAGTGTGACTACCGTGGATTGTTGTATCTGTAGATTTCGAACCTTGTCTGCGCTGGACAATTGTGAAAAGGCTCCATACTAAAGAAACTCTGCCAACCGTTAGCTACGAACCAGTGCGGAAAGAACGACCACTGACACGGTCCCAGTCTCGACCCACTCCAGCCATCCACTCGGCATCCCAAATACAGCTCTAGAAACAGCAACAATTGCTGCCATTTTCATCCTTATCTCGGTCGTTTTGCAACTTGCTGGCACATATACTATAAAACACACAGTCACTGATCAATCACACCTCATCTCGTCGTTTGCCTCTGGTATAGATATCGGCCCTCATCAGTTTTATGCTGGCCTCAACACCCGACACCCACCCGCCCAGGTGAGAGCGCCTTCAGCTTTGCATTCCCTCGGCCGCTTGAGCTCAGCTTTTCTTTGACTTTGAGCGGTGCCCACTTTGCGTGCGCCTCCCCTCGTTTGGCCCATCTAGAAACAAAGCCGCCATATCAGGATAATAACGTTGAGCCTCTTCCTTTTCTTTGCGCGCTGACCACGTCTACAGAACCACCTACCGTTAAGAACTTACACCGTCACTACAATGACAGCCACAAACACCCACACACCAACCCTCTCAGTCATAACACGCGTCCCCATCCCCGCCAGGGTTGATCCCAAGGCCGTCCTCGCGAGCCTCCACGCCTACGAGCCCCTCATCAAAGCCAACCCCTACGTCGCCCACTTTGAGCAGCGGCACCTCGATGTCTCGGAAGTCGTAGATGATCCCCTGTTTCTCGAATCTGGCACCAAGCTGCAGGCCTTTATAGTGGTGGATCGGGTCCCTGTCATTCCTGGTCTCGGCGCCTGGGGCACCAAGGAGGTGGGCATCCCGTGTGTAATGCAGAGCTTTGACCATGGCGTCCGGGTTCGAGCCAATGCCCAGGCAGGCGTGGTGGTGAGGAGCAGTTACGAAGTCAGGAGGAGGGGGGAGGTGCAAGACGGCCCAGACTTGTTGCTTGGGCCTGGTGACGAAGGAGAGTGGGAGCTGGTGGAAATCGCGGGAATCGACTGCAACTTTTTCGTCAAACACTTTGTCAGATCCAGGTTTTCGAGTGCGCATCAGGAAATCCTGCAGAGGGTCGTGGATGGCGTCGCCAGGAAAACTGATGCTGCCGCTGCTGGGGTTAACACTGGTCCTGCTGTCGCAGATGCTGGGACGCCGGCGGAGGCCTTGCCAGTGGTGTAGGTCAAAGATCTTTTGTCTGATGTCAGGAAAACACGGTCACCCTGCCATAGTGGGCGCATAGGCTGGACTTTTGCTGAATCACTCAATGCATGTTGTCGAGTTTGTTCCTAGGTAGCCCTTCACGCCCCAAGTCTGAGATACCCCTGCTTTCTAATGTAATCTACAAGTCTTTCAGCCCAGTTTGATCAACATATATGGGTCAGACCCGTATAGATGACAGCATATCAAAAATCAGCCGAGCCATCACCTCTCAAACATGTACACCAACTTTTCTCAAACAACACCGCGTTACCTTTGACTCCCGCCACCTGCACGATACCCCTTCGAATCTCCCCTTCTCCTTCCTATTGACTCTC